GGAGAATTGATTTGTTGTAAGTTACATTCGTTTAATAATCACCCGTCAACTTTTTTCCCTAAAGCGATCTAAAAAAAATTATTGCCATTTTTAAAAATATCAATAGACTTTTCCAATGTGTGTATATATGCTTAAGTTTATGATGATTGTTGAAAATTTGCAGCTTTGTCAATAAGACCTAATGTTCCTTGGTCAATAAAGCATATTATTATTATTGTTATTATTCACACTGCAATTTCATTGGACAATCCATGTAAATTTGGCCCACTGCATGGTCCTCGTCAATTGCTGTATTTCATATTTGTATTTCATTGAAAATATGATAATCCCGATTTCAATCTGTTATAAAATTTTTTCAACCTATCACTTCATTTTTTAATTCTGTATTCAAACAGGCTAGCTTAGTTCAAACAGTCCAATCTCTATGTATATAGTATAATAATTGGCAGTGATTCAATGTGTTTGTAAATCAAAGTTCATTTTAAAGGCTCGAGAAGGTGACGTTAGAAAAACTCCCCTGGGAAGAACCAGGTCGAACGTACCACCACCGAAAGAACCTCAGCACGCCATAGTCTCCAAGAGTCGCAGCGTTGATAATGTCGGCAGTTCCTATCAGCCCGTGCAGCCGCAAGAGAATCTCCACAGGAAATTGCAAAGGCAGCTCACGTTGAATCCGGGCGCGGATCCTAGATTATCGATGCGGTACGGCGCCCCTCAGATCTCCAGCAATCAAAAACGTGAAATGTCGAGTAACAATTAGAATTATGTTATTTTTTACATTTTTTTTTCTGATGAACAAGATGAACATACTGAAATTTTGGATATTTTCAACCGTTTTTTGGGAAAATACGAGGATAACTTTTCGCAAATTTTTTTCGAATTGGGAATAGTTTTTGAAACATAAAAAATTCGGAAAAGGCTCAATATCCACTGAACTATTGAAATTGTGAAAGACTTGTCTATTGCTTCATTGTAGAAATTTTTACCTCTAATAAAAATCTTTGATACTGTAGGAATAACTTAGAGATAATGTGGAATAAACATTTGCCTTTGTTTTTCGATTGTTAGTATCCAATATCGTCTTTAGGTGATAACCTACTTATTCCTTATTCTCTGAAACTTGAGCGCTTTCCCCTCCCCTCTCGTTTTCGCTGTCCAGTAAAATCTGAACCGTTTTTCAACTTGATTAGAGGTTTCCATGCGTTGCGTTACGTCACACTATACTAACTGTATGCGTCGTTGCTCAACACGTACGCAGCTTCTTTAAACTTCATCTTGAACCAGTTTTTCTTTCTTTGAATGATTTCAGCTTCGGACTACCTTAGGTTATATTGTATCCACATGGTATACGATGAATACAATGCTTGAGTCGCTATCCACGTTTTGTGGCTTGGTGATCTCGGAACCGAAGCATGTTCTAGTGTTGTACTCAGATCCACCTCTTCTTGTCACCTCCAACAGCCCTCTAAACCAAAGAAGGGATAGTACAGGTTGTAAAGGTTTCTTTTCCTTGCGGGGTTCTTGTTCTCCAGCATGAAATCAAAAAACAAATTTGCAGTCTTTATTTTCCACGATAGTTCCACTTTTCTATAATTTTAGGAAAATATTGGTTTCTACATCTGTGTTTTGATTTTTCCATCACATATAATTTCAATTTAAGCGGACCAATTTTTTTTGGAAAACATCAGAAAAATAGCTTTCCCTCTTTCTGATTTTCCTCGATCCAATAAAGTACCATGAATTGTAAAAATTTCAGATTATTGTCCCAATGTGTTTGACAAATAATCGATCTCCATGATTATGGATGACAAACATACAGACAGACAGCGTTAAACCATTGGTGAAGTTTTTCTTCTATTTTTCTAATATATGTAGTTTCACAAAGGAGCAGCTTTCTTCGTAACAGAATATTAACCTCTTTAGTGTCGTAAACCTGTTTTCAAATTGTTTTTTGACATTCTTTCTTTAGTTTTTTCATCTTGATAAGATGAAACGTAAAGGAAGAAATGTAACGAACGATCTCGTTTTTTTCGAAAAAACCATAATTTTAAAATCGAATTGTGCTGGAATTTTTCTGGAGGCCGACCATTATGGTCAGAGATATACATATAGTTTATTTACTATTATTTTTGAAAACTGCCACAGCTAGTTTCTGTTTGAGTGGTTGTTGAAATTTTGAATGCTCGACTAGAAATAGGAAAATACCTTCATATTGAAGGATAAAAATGCTTTTGAATGATTGTGGTTTCTACTGTAATTATTTCTTTTATATGGATAAGTTGATACTATGTATCTCTAGTAAAATTGTTGCAATTTTTGAATTATAGTATAGTATGTTGGGAAATTTAAATGCACGTTCCTCAAAATACTGAGCATAATATTTCCGTATACTGGAAAACGAAGAATTTCATTTGATACGCAGAGGATTTGTTGATTGTAATTTAAACTCGAATGTTAGTTTCGACTATTTCAAATCACAAATATGCTCAGCCTTTTTCAAATGTTCAATACTTGAAAACAAATAAGTCTAAAGACTGTTTTGCGGAGAGATACTTACGTATAAGAAAATAAATATTCATCTCTCCCAACTACCTACACATTAGGTTCTGGGTAAGAGCTGTCGGAAAACAACTACTTCGCAGGCTAATACCACGCTGGATATTGAATTATATCTGACAGGCAGACGTTTCTTGTTCGTCCAGCAGCAGGACAATGCTGAAATCAGTCGAGTAGATCTCCTACTTGATTGATTTCAGCGTTATCCTGCTGCTGGATGAACAAGAAACATCTGTCTGTCGGATATAATTCAATATACGGCGTGATATTAGCCTGGGAAGTAGGTGTTTCCCCACCGGCAGCAGTTGTTTTCTCACAACCTACTGTGTAAATGCAATAAATAATATTGTTTTACTCCAATAATGAAAACATGTAGCTCATGTTTCTCTTGGGCTTATTTTGATATTATTTTAAGGGACATGCATTTAGATATCATTACTAGCCCCGTATCAACCTATTAACGTACATGGTAAGTGTATTGTGTATTAATTAAAAACCTTGTCTTAAGTGATTGATTATAGCAGATCATTTAGATTTGGTAGATTTATCATTAGTTCTCAATTTCTATACTCCCTAGGATTATGTACACCATTGAAAATATTGAAAGCACGTCGATTCATTGTTGATGTTCATACCTTTTTGAGCATTAAAGTGAATTTCATGTCCAAATTTCAGTTATATTTATAAGAAGATGTAGCAAGCAAGGATTGGCAATAAAAAAACAGTGTGTATCTTCGAGGATATATTTAATGCTTTTTGTTTTTTAAATTTCAATTGTATTTTTTTTTTGGTTGTGTTTTTTCTCTGCGAATCACAATGATGGCTATATTTGAACTCCAACAAAGTACTATTTACCGTTGTTCATGTTCAAATTATTAGCGAAGTCGTTTTCTGATTGTTGAATCCACCTTAAATGTTTTTGTTGAAACCCCACAGTACAGTAACAAGAGTTGTTTATTATTCATTATCCTTTCTCTATATCTTCTTTGAATGAAAATGTTACATTTTCTATAATCATCCGATACTTGTTTTATATAACTTCATCATACAAATAATTTCTCTAGGATTAATTGAATCTAGTTGTTGAAATCTAATGTAGTGTGCCAACTTACTAACCATTGTCTAATGCGGAACTAACAAAAGTTGACGTTATCTCTCGAAAATAAATGTGGTAACTGGACACCATGTAACCGCTAATTTTCAACAGGCTAAACAATGGGCTATTTGGAATTGAACTTTCGTCATTATCCATATTTCTCATGTCGCCCTTAAGAGTATTTTTGTACTTTCAAAAGCATCGAAAAGTCTAGTGTCATGTACTGATCCTAACAAATTTAGACAGTGTTAGGCACATTGAGTGACACTAGACTTTTCTGGTCGCCTAAATTGAATGTGTCGTGTTTTCTTTGAAACATACGAAATCTCTTGTCCGTTAAATGAAGTGTTCCTTGGATACATTATGGATTTTCATCAAGTATCAGCGGATTCCATCACTTATACTGGCTTTTCCCTTGTGTATGCAAGATACCTTCATGGGTTCCATGTTCCTTTAATTTTTTTGACTTTTTTCAATGTATTCAGGTTTTGCATGTGCTGAATTGTTGATTTAAAACACTTTTCTGCAATCACCTCCTAAAGGGTTTCTTTGAGTGGGATATTCAATATGTCGATACATTCACAAACCTTTTTTTTTCTTTCAAATTTATTGACAAAGTAATTGGCGTTGAAACTTTTCTCTTTCAAATTCAAAAAGGAATAGCCAATTCTTTGCTCAAGGTCACGTGACGTCTAAGAGTTTGACAGGGTGGTTTCAGAATCTACATCATAGAATATACTGTTCTGTGTCTACCATAAGCCAACAGATCTGATGCTTGAGCGTCTGGTAGTTAATTGCCTCATTTCCATTTGTTGTGTGCTCCACTGATTTCATCTAAAATATTCATGTACTCGTTTTTGGATTCATATTTTCAAGTATCTATGATAATAATTAAATAATGTTCAAAAACATTTTTTATTTCTAGGCGCGTTCCGCTAACATCGAATTTTCCTCGGTAGAAATGTTTTACACATAATTTTATTTCTGACGATAAAAAAACTGATAGTGATATTGACAATAGGAAAAGCACATATACCTTTGTTTTGAAACATATCAATTTCAACGGGTACGTTACCCCAAATTAATTTGTAAATAGAGCCTCATTTTCTTCATAAGTATAATAAAGAATTGAAAATGCCGAATGCTTAGACCGGAACAAAAATGACATCCCTGTTGGTATCTGGTGGACAAATGGATCGTTACTTGTTACTTCTCTCATTTCCAAATTTTCGCAGAGAGGGCATTTCGGTTGTCAAAATCTAAGTATTCCAAGCTTTATATGGATTGTTGCTATTACTGTTAAAGTATTTTTTTTCAATATTATTAATAAATCATCGTGCTGACGATTGCATTACTAATGATAATTAATTATGGTTGAATAGTCGGTTTTTCTGAATGTTCATGAGATAACCATGTTTGATGAAAGTTATCCAAATTTAAATTGAAATGTAGTTGAAATTGTAGACTATTTTCAAATCTGAACATTTTGAAGAAAGAGTTCACAGATATTTTCTCACTATTTAAGATTTCCAAGGATCACATCATTCATTCTCCCTGTCGAACTAAAAACGGCGATTGGGAAGTTCATCGTCCAAATACTATATCTACCGAACATATTGAAACTTAAAACTAAGGCAGATGGTAAAACAAAAACAAAGTCCTGTCAGCTGTTTTTATACATTGTTATGGTTTTCTGTGCTGCTTGTGAGTGAAGGTAATTTTTTCACCTATTCATCATTCATCAGTGAACGCACTAAAAACATTTCAGATTCACAATAAAATAACTCAAAACAGAAAAGAACCCTAAACAATAAACAAGACCTATGTGTTCCATGACCATTGCTTCCACCAGGCGCATTTGGCAAGCATCACCTATACTCAACCAGTGTTGAACATTCAGTTATTCCAATCAGCTGTTAGCTGTTTGGGAAGCGCCATCATCAGTAGAAATTCTTTTCTATAGTTGTTATTATTGGTTCATCTTAAATAGTAATAAAAGTTTTGCTTCTGGACGCGGAGCTCAATCTGTGTTCTATGCTGTTCGAAGGGGCCATTATCTTTAGATGGCGGTGCAAAACCCTAGGATAAAAGTTGAAAATGAATCTATTGAAACACTTTCCTCACACCAAAATAAAATACTTCTTCTCGATGCGTGTTCCGTTAACCGATTGCAATATTGATAATTAATCATTATTGAAGTCCGGTTCATCCAAATATTCATAAGACAACCGCAGGTGGCTCTTGAGTTCAGGGGACGTTATTCACGGTCGAATCAAGTTTGAATATTCCAAATAAAATAACAATTACGTAAATTTCCTAACCTGTTTCAGATTTTTGAGGTCCATGCAAAGTGTTTGGAAGAATACAAAATTCGTGGGTCTTAGACTCTGAGGTCTTCCTTCCCTCTTGTGTGTTTTATATCACTTTCGTTTGTCAATAGTGTTATCGTCATCGTTAATGACAGAAATCAAGTCAGAAAGAGAGATATTTTCAAATTACGGCATGGCAGTAGTTGCTGTCAATTATGGGAATTTTCAGATTCGGAGGTGTGGCAACATTATCAATGTAATCGTTTGTTGGTGGGTGTATTTCTTCGCCATATTTTATTCCGTTTTATAAAATGTAATCGTAATTAAATATAAATGTATGTGATTTTTCATCAAATAAAGACAGTTATCATAGTTTAATTGATAAATATGAAGTTCATTTGCGTCCGAAAGGTAAGTTGAAATTTATTATCTGGTGACATTTAAAGGTTTGTTGGCCTTTACATTTGACATACGAAAAAACTACATTACAGTTGATGTTATAACATTTTATCTGCAGGAATATTGAAAACTTAAATATTTTTGTTAATCTAGTTGGAAAACTCACTGCTAGATATCTCTTTTTTGCCTGTATTGACTTTTACACAGTGATATGTGATCTTGATAGACTGGAAAGGGCTCGAACCCTTCAAATAGTTATTTTTTCAGTCGATGAGAGACTGGTGATTGGGTACGGTGGAGAATATTATACAAACTATTGATTATTTACTTTTGCAAAATCGGGATCACAATATGACCGATTTCATATTCATTCTAGTTATAACCTCCCTCAAATGAGTCACTTCCTCATTCTAAGTGAGAGGCCAATACATAACACGATTTGTTTTTATTGTATAATGAAATGCCCATATGTTCCAGTTTATTTTTATTCTAGTATATAAAACATACCTGACAGTATCTTCTTATGCTACAAATATAAACCAGATTGATGTATTGTAAATAAGTATACCTTCTGAGCTTCACTGTTTTCATTATCAGTTTTTTTCTGTGAGTTCATCAAACGTTTTTTGTACTGAGTGGAAAAGTTCACATAAAAAGGGTAAGTAAATGTTAATAAATAACGGTAATACATCTATGATTTTAGAAGCAATTTGACTTCAATAATTCAATTTAAAAAACCCTTGTTTTTGTTTCCTTGATTGAAAAAACTGATTTTAAAATAAAGCTATTGAAATATGAGAAAAACCTTTTTTGGCTTTCTTCTCCAGGTACAATCCACAGAAGAAACCCAGAGAAAACCATCTGAAACAACTACTTGTTCCTATGAATAATTAATTGCACAAATCACTTTTTCCTCATTGATTATGTCTCCACTTTGAAATATTCAATGTTATATCAATGCTCTTCCATTTATTACATGAATGTTTGGTCAAAGTGAAAATTTGTCAATCAACACTGAGATCTAACAAGAAGATACATAAAAATATTTATGCGTTAAATCAAATTTTCAAATCTTTTTGAAACCTTCATATTTCGCTAATAATAATATTGATTATATTTTAAGTAAGTTTTTCAGCTGTATTTCACAAAAACTAAACTTCCTTACAAAAAAATTAAAACTGGAATTTAAAATTAATAAAACAAAATGTTGCACCTTACTGATGAAATAGTGTTATCGTCATCGTTAATGACAGACATCAAGTCAGAAAGATGGATATTTTCAAATTACGGCATGGCAGTAGTTGCTGTCAATTATGGGAATTTTCAGATTCGGAGGTGTGGCAACATTATCAATGTAATCGTTTGTTGGTGGGTGTATTTCTTCGCCATATTTTATTCCGTTTTATAAAATGTAATCGTAATTAAATATAAATGTATGTGATTTTTCATCAAATAAAGACAGTTATCATAGTTTAATTGATAAATATGAAGTTCATTTGCGTCCGAAAGGTAAGTTGAAATTTATTATCTGGTGACATTTAAAGGTTTGTTGGCCTTTACATTTGACATACGAAAAAACTACATTACAGTTGATGTTATAACATTTTATCTGCAGGAATATTGAAAACTTAAATATTTTTGTTAATCTAGTTGGAAAACTCACTGCTAGATATCTCTTTTTTGCCTGTATTGACTTTTACACAGTGATATGTGATCTTGATAGACTGGAAAGGGCTCGAACCCTTCAAATAGTTATTTTTTCAGTCGATGAGAGACTGGTGATTGGGTACGGTGGAGAATATTATACAAACTATTGATTATTTACTTTTGCAAAATCGGGATCACAATATGACCGATTTCATATTCATTCTAGTTATAACCTCCCTCAAATGAGTCACTTCCTCATTCTAAGTGAGAGGCCAATACATAACACGATTTGTTTTTATTGTATAATGAAATGCCCATATGTTCCAGTTTATTTATATTCTTGTATATAAAACATACCTGACAGTATCTTCTTATGCTACAAATATAAACCAGATTGATGTATTGTAAATAAGTATACCTTCTGAGCTTCACTGTTTTCATTATCAGTTTTTTTCTGTGAGTTCATCAAACGTTTTTTGTACTGAGTGGAAAAGTTCACATAAAAAGGGTAAGTAAATGTTAATAAATAACGGTAATACATCTATGATTTTAGAAGCAATTTGACTTCAATAATTCAATTTAAAAAACCCTTGTTTTTGTTTCCTTGATTGAAAAAACTGATTTTAAAATAAAGCTATTGAAATATGAGAAAAACTTTTTTTGGCTTTCTTCTCCAGGTACAATCCACAGAAGAAACCCAGAGAAAACCATCTGAAACAACTACTTGTTCCTATGAATAATTAATTGCACAAATCACTTTTTCCTCATTGATTATGTCTCCACTTTGAAATATTCAATGTTATATCAATGCTCTTCCATTTATTACATGAATGTTTGGTCAAAGTGAAAATTTGTCAATCAACACTGAGATCTAACAAGAAGATACATAAAAATATTTATGCGTTAAATCAAATTTTCAAATCTTTTTGAAACCTTCATATTTCGCTAATAATAATATTGATTATATTTAAAGTAAGTTTTTCAGCTGTATTTCACAAAAACTAAACTTCCTTACAAAAAAAATAAAAACTGGAATTTAAAAGTAATAAAACAAAATGTTGCATCTTACTGATGATAACTATGTTATACAGGGTGTAACATAAGTACGTTAATATATTCAAGTGACGTATTCCTGAGACAATTTTAAGAAAAAAGTCATAAACTTGTGACCGTAAATGCTTCGTTTCGGAGATACAGGGTGTTGAAATTGAATATTTTTGTTCGTTTTTTTAAAATAACTTTTGCAAAAAATAAGTTATTTGCACGAGATTTTGTATCCGGGGTTTTTTTGACGTGGAAATAATCATTTCGTATTAATTTTCATGTAACATCTAGAGGGCGCTGCGAAGGCTGTCATTATTTATTTAAAATTGCCCTAACTTTCTTAACAGTAATCTACTGGTACTTTTCATGAAGAAACCTAATTCCAATACCTTCCAGATATCTTCTATATCGATGCATATGACTTTAGCTTCTAGGGCGCTAAGTGAAGTTGCTGAGAACATTACAAAAACTAAGTATGTGGTGGATCTTGTCAAAAAACAACTATTTCCTATAAAATGTTTATCGATAAATCATTTATTTTCGAGAGACAGTTTTCTGTCACTATTATTGTTTATCAATCCAGCGTAGATACAGTTTGCGATGCCGCCGTAACTGTGAATTCTCCAACAGAGTTTTTGAACTCATTGGATTTGCCAGGCATTCCACCGCATAATTTACAAATGAAGGTTGGATCGCTCCGTTATTTGAATCCACCACGGCTGAGCAACAGCACGCGATCAGTCATTACAACATCAATGAAAAATGTTGTTGAAGCCAGACTAACGAAAAATATAGTAAAACACTATAGCATAAGGGACTGATCATTATTCTTATAGAAATAATTTATATGGCAGAGCAACGTTTGTCAGATCAGCTAGTTTTCATATAATAATTCTCCTTTTCAAACTTCGTAGGAAATTATCTTTTACTTTATATGTTCCACAGTTATCAACAATATGAAGTAATCACCAGTGAGATAAGTAACGAATCTGATTGTATGACAAATATGTGTAGATATCCAAGTGATCACGCAATGAAATAAAATAAATATTAGCTAATATCGACACACCTTGTGAAAATATTCATCGTGAATTACAGTTCTCGCCTACGACTAGGTCTAGCAATGCATTGTGCTTCTCTGAAATGCTTAGAGTCTGGCACCGAGTACCACTGACAAATTTTCATCTAAGAAATAGTATCTATCTATTTGTCCAAACATTTAAACCACGCGATAACTTTGAGTAATGATCGATTTAAAAAAAAACTTTTTTTTTTTTTAAAAACATAGAAACTCTTGCAGAGAAGGTTGCTCAGGTAGAGAACGATATTGAGTGACAAGTAACCACATTCTTTATGGAATGATTCAAAAGAAATGTCAAATTTTATGTAAAAAAAATCTCATGTTATGTGCTACGCATTTACAGTTAAAAATTTTATGAAATCTTCGAATGTACAATTCCTTTTAATGTCGTGACTTGATGTTGAAACTGGTTCAATTTGTCATTTTTTGTTGGAATATCACTCGTGCGCGAAACAAATTAAAACGGTTCGAGATTTCCGTTATTATTTCGTCTGTCTCTCTCAATTTCGTTTACTTTTGCATCGACAGAACTGAAGAATATCAGACCGATATTGAAAGGACAGGGTTGCTGAAACTTGGCTCAGTTCCTCTTCTTTCTACCAGTCACGTTACGAATGAGCTACTCAGTGAGCTTCGTTTGACAGTTTTTATATACAGGGGGTTCCAGAAATTCCTTGGAAATAATGAAGAACATTGATTGTGTTTCTTTTATTATCTCATCTATGAAAACGGGGAATAGGTTTCTTCTGCGTTATAGTCATACAAATACTTCGTAGTATTGAATAATACATAATATTACTTGTGAAATAGCACTTTTTTGAGTGGCGTCTAAGGATATCAAACGTGAAATATTTCAAACAGATTGATGAAGGAAAGATCACCAAGAAACGGTGCTTGAAGTAATTATCTCTCAGACATATTCAATGCTGTAGAGAAAACACACAACACAAATGGGTTATGCATTTAAAAAATTTGGTTTATGCATGTTCGGATTCCTCAAGAACGGTGCTTCGTAAAAAAAGAGTATCGAAACCATTTTTTAACACCCTGTTATTAGCTTCACCTGTATGTATGTATGTTTGTAACTCTCGTTGCTTGATATATTCGCGGGCAGATGGCGCTGTAGGTAACTCCTTGATATATCGACAGTATTGCTTGATCTATTCGCGGGAAGAAGGCGCTGTTCGTAAGCTCCTTGATGTATCGACAGTATTGCTTGATCTATTCGCGGGAAGATGGCGCTGTACGTAACTCCTTGATATATCGACATTATTGCTTGATCTAACGGAACGGGCTCGGAGAATATGTGAACCAGAACATCTGGAGAGGGAACTGAAATACCTGGAAGTTACCTTGAGATCGAAAGGGTACAGTGCCTCCGATACCAGAAGAGCCATGAGACCGAAGGGCAACACGGTTCAGAAAGCGAAAAAGGAACAGATGGTTGGTTGCACGCACATTTCTACCGTTTGTTCCTAGGGTCACGGATAGAATTGGAAAACTATTGGATAAACACGACATCGAAACAGTCTTCAAACCCACGAGGAAGATACAACAAAGCCTCAGGTCGGCTAAAGATAAAAGAGACCCATTATCAGCAGCGGGGGTCTATCGCATACCGTGCACTTGTGGGAAGGTATATATCGGAACCACCAAACGATCCATGGGAACAAGACTAAATCTTCCTCTTGGAGATGATCACTTGGTGATCAAAACACGTGTCGAAGTGTTAAAATAACGGTTTGGTGTTGAGAAAAAACTCCAATAATATTTATTACAGCACCAAAGGTTCCAAACACAAATATGATACTTATTTAGAGTTATTTGAATGACGACTTTTCATTCATCTTAGTTCACTGTGATAGATTTTTTCCTAGGAAAGACAGAACTTTTGTCGTTCACCATTTTTTGCATATTATCTATTTTCGTTCATTTCGATACCACAATAAGTAGAACCGTTGTCTTATCTTCAACGTTTAAATATATCCAACTACGAAATTGTTATTCGACTTGTATATATATATCACTAGTTAAATAATAACGTCACACTGGTATGTACTAACAATTGTAAAATACAAAGAATCCCCAAATTACTTCACAAGTTACTGATTTATTTGAATCTGGATTTAATTCCATTGTCTCTGTATCCAGTATTAAGTTCGAAAGGTTAGGAGTTCACTCATCACACGAATAAATCTGAGAAGGTGGGTTAATTTTGTAGTATTATATTTCTTAAAATGAATTTGAAACTCTGTTTCTGATATTATTACTTATTATAATAAGTGACGCTCTCATTAATTAACTAAATTATTCGATAACACAAAATTGCAACTTAAATACTTCTAATTCGATAATAGCTCACACATGCAATGTTCAAAAATATTCCTGGAGAATTGAAACATTTTCAACTCTCCAAATGCTCTTGTTACTAGAATATTATATTCCTCTACTTTGGTTCCCTTCAAGGCGACGTGCTTTTGTGAACTTGTCACATACGTGTAACCCATTGATTCTCCTTTCTGATTTTTCTCATGTCACGTACAGAAGTTTGGTGAATTCTTCCTCGTTTATAATGGAGTTATTCCTTTGATTTTCTTACTTCCTCTGGCGACAATTTTAGTTTTTTGTTTCATATACCTCTCTGACTATAATAGTATATTTATTATTTTTTTTACCAAAAAATTAACGAACAAAGAATGACGAGTAAGCACTTGTAAACAAAAATATTTTGAAGTCTGCGTTCGATAGAAACAGTAACAATCGCAACGTGTTTAACAAATATTCGTAAAATAACAAAAAAGGTCAAATATTTGCACACAACATTGTTAGATTGGTAGGTAAATTTCCGAGTAGTATTGCAAATCCTTTTAGGATCAGAGGTCAAGTGGTACGAACACAAGTCATATTATTATCCTTTTAACTTCAAATTCTCGCGATGCGGCAGTTGTTTCACAAGAATGCATTCGTCGTGTTTTTGCAGTGACTGAGCAAAACTAGGTGATTCGTGTCGGTGGAAATTATTGCTTCAGCTATGAAGATAGTCGTGTCGTAGGTGTTTCACAAAAACCAACAAATGAACTTCATTGGGTAAGGGATATTTAATATACAGAACACTTCAGTTGAAGCGAACCACTCTTAATTTCATTTGATATTGAGTCTGTAAAAAGGCATCAGAACAATCCTCAAGGCAACAATTTCAAATGTTAATCGAGTGATATCTTATTTGAAAAATCCTTCAATTCTGTATCCAACTTTGTATCAACAAGTTGAAATTCGTGTTCAACAGAGCGGATATCTTTTTGAATTCAGAGTGAAGTGTAGAAAAATGGTTTCGCATGATTTCACAGCACAAAAAAAATGCAATTTTCTTTACCAAATGAGGATGAAATGAATAATAGTTTGAAAAACTGAAAAAAACACTCTTCGACGTTCAGTTTGGGTTTCGGTAGTGATGAATCTACCGATGAATGTTATTCATTTTTGGCAAGTAACGGGTCAGTTCCTTCATGATTAATTTATGATTTGGAGAACACCCATTTTGTGGAGTGAATTCACCGAGACCATGTTTAAAAATGAATCTACAGAAATTTGAATCCAATCAAATCGCATTATCGCTCTCAGAACATCTTGTAAATGTTCAGCTTTATTTGTGCATCTCTCTGAAACATCCTTGTGAACATTGTGCTAGAACATGATCACACTTGAGTCAAAATCTGTAAAGTCCTCGCGGAAAATTATATTTGACACCTTATCCGTTTCCCGGAAAATTATATCCTGGTTATTAAATGCATCAGATACCAACTATGATTCACCCTACAAACAAATTTCATCTCAATATTACTGGAGTTTAAATAAATAAGAAATTAAAAATTAAGAAAGACATTTCAAACCAAGCTACTTTAATACATTTCGATTGTTAGTATCCAATATCGTCTTTAGGTGATAACCTACTTATTCCTTATTCTCTGAAATTTGAGCGCTTTCCCCTCCCCTCTCGTTTTCGCTGTCCAGTAAAACCTGAACCGTTTTTCCACTTGATTAGAGGTTTCCGTGCGTTGCGTTACGTCACACTATACTAACTGAATGCGTCGTTGCTCAACACGTACGCAGCTTCTTCAAACTTCATCTTGAACCAGTTTTTCTTTCTTTGAATGATTTCAGCTTCGGACTACCTTAGGTTATATTGTATCCACATGGTATACGGTGAATACAATGCTTGAGTCGCTATCCACGTTTGGTGGCTTGGTAATCTCAGATCCAACTCTTCTTGTCACCTCCAACAGCCCTCTAAACCAAAGAAGGGATAGTACAGGTTGTAAAGGTTTCTTTTCCTTGCGGGGTTCTTGTTCTCCAGCAGATATTTGAACCACCAGGTATTTGTGATAATAATTCTGTTGAAGATCTTTCCTGGTATGGTTTATCTCCTTGGCGAGATTTACAAAAACATTCAATGATCCATTACAGTTATTTTTCTCTCTTAGTGGTTTGATGATGGTTGAATTCGTAATTCGTGATTTGGTTTTCAATACACGAGAAGTGATAGTTCCCACTTGTCAGTGAAACATCGTTTCAAATAATAAAAGTATTGTACCACATTACAATGACCAATTTTCTCCATATTTACAAATTCACCGAAAACGTTCGCTATTGGTGGCTGCCAAACAAATACTAAACAACGCAGCGTCTTCAAACTTGAAACATACGCTTTAAAGATTGTATGCTTTCTGATACAGTGATTATTTTCAAACAACTACCGCCATCTCTTGGTCAGGCCGGGTACTTCTGGGTGTTTTTTCGACAGGAACGCTACTACGCTACTTTGAAACCGTTTGTCTCGTTCTCTGTCTTCGGCTGCTTTCAGTAACTTGACAAAGTGCCTTGAATTCTTCACAAAAGATGAGGTTTCTCCTTGTAGCGAATAATTGGAAGTAGAAATCTGGAACAGTTGCGGAAGGCTAAATCCCTGGAACTAATGATCAGTTTAAATGGGACACATTTCTTGTGGAGACCCCTCCTTTTCCAATAATGACTTTCTACAAATGTATTATTGTACACAACGTCGTCAAATGGCTATCTATCTTTCAGTACATTATATTTTTTATTTTTGTTTCAGCCCGGCTCCATTGATAGCAGATCCGACTTCGCAGGAGCGCTAGATTAATTAAGAAACGTTTACGCCATGCCCCTTCCAAAAAGAGTTATAGAACCGATCCATGTAACGCGTGGTACGTTACCGGAAGATTATCCTCTTCCATCGGAGCTCGAAGGCGTTACCAATGGAACTCTTGCCAACACTGTTAGACAACTGTCTTCTCTGTCAAGGTATTCATTATCATTTTCTATGTTTCTCAACTGACTTCTTCGACACGCTGTCTGGTGTATTAAATTAGCTTTATTTTGAACATGAGAACTCCAGTGAGAATGACAACTTCGTTATCAACACGCCATCTATGGAATCGACAGAAAGCTCGTCGAGGATGAACGCGGGTTTATTCCTATAGATGGCGTTACGATTGCAACAACTTTGGACTCTGGTTATATTAATTCCATATTTCCTATTCAATTTCTAACCTGTTTTTGTGTGTCTTGCATTTCGTATTTGATGCTCTAGTTATGCTAAAAGACTGCTCATCATTTTGGTCATCCTTCTAGGACTTTCCAGAACTATTTAGTAGGTTCATCTTAGTTTGTAAATGTATTGTTTGTATTGGATTCGTGGCTGTAACACAAGCTTGGCTTAGATAGCCACGATCCTTCATAGATGTAAGTTGTAACGGTTTATATTTTATATTAATCTGAATTGAATGAAATTTGATTTGATTTGTTAGGAAATGATTTTCTTGGAATATGATGAGTATTTCAATATTTTGCTTTAAATATTTCATTCATAATCATCCCTTAGAGATAATCACATTAAATTTCATCAACAAACAGTAAAATTAATTCAGAAATTCCCCGTTTTATAATAATAATGGTTCTAAAAATATTGAACCTCAAATTGGTGGATTTTCTTTTGCAAAAGGTTTATTGTGTCTGTTTCAGGCATGCCGAAGATCTTTTTGGAGAATTGGCGAGAGATGCCCAACAATTATATGATAGATCGAATTCGTTACAAGCTAGAATAGACAGGTTGGCTATTAAAGTAACACAGCTCGATAGTACGGTAGAAGAAGTCTCTCTTCAAGATATACACACCAGGAAGGCATTCAAAAGCAGCGTTGTATTTGACCAACAGGTAACAAGATGTTTAATATGTCTATCTCATCATATATGGGTGTATGCAGTAAAATGATTCGATACAAACAACTGTTTATAAAGTATCAAATATCAAATGTGATTTTGTTGTTAATCCTTGAATCATAGGCATAGAACAAAAATACTTATAGATCTGGCTAGCCAATTAAAGATTGACAACAATCCACCAAATCAAGAACTCAATTATATACAGGGAAATGAAAAACATTAAAGAATGTTACCTCATTAGTACTAGACATTTTATCCTTTATATCAATCTTTTTTTTACTGGTCTACTGCGCCGAAGGAAAGCAAAGACAATAAAAGAAAAGAAGAAGAAGAATCTTCTTTTTTTCTTTATAGAAAATACAATTTTGCGCAATGAAAATGATTGTTTTTGTATGAATGTGAGGAATAACACGTTTTGTGATGTAAAAAGTGCGAATATGTTTTTTAATTCAAGTAGTTTATTGAATAACTTTCGTCAACGAAATGTCAAACAGTGTACCAAATCATAATATCACAATATCTTTCTCACACCTGTCTACCAACTCTTCTGATGGGATTTCCAATATTATTGTTTCTTTCACTGTTGAAGTTTTATTGGTGTACATGTATAGCTATTGCCTTCGTTATTCACCTTATTTGAAGTACCTAATTATTCTTTTCGAAACGTAACTTATTAAAAAAACTAGATGGAAGGTAATTCATCTTTTACTATTGAAAATTCGGCAGTAGTAGCTCAGAAGTAACAAATAGTTGATTTGTAAAGTCTAGCCTTTCTGAATTTTTTTGTCGAGATCACAATTGTTTTGCATCAACGAAATTTACTAAAAAAGGTTATTCTCTGTCTTATAATATGAAGGGATATTATGAAAAACCCATAATATTTTGTTCTTGAATGTTTTAAGTTGTTGATAATGTTTTAGAATCGTTTATATTTTACAAATACTCTAGCTACTGAATAAAAGAACAGTAAAAAACATTTTGAACTAGTTTCCAAAGTTAATTTTTTAGAAATATTCAATTTTTCGTCTCCAGAAATGAGGTACTCTCAACAAAAAGTCAATCATAAATCATGTGGCAAATAAAAAGACAACTACATGTTATGAAATGATTGACACCACATTAGACTGTATAAATGCAGTTATACCACTTTCCCTGCTCACGTTCAATTATCAACTCATTAGAAACCAGTACTAATTTATGTTTCTTTTTCCTGTTGTGTTCTTTGATTTGACTGAAATGTCAATTGTATGATTATGCATAGTGCAGCTATGAATCTCAATGAAGTTCTGTATTCAGTTTCCTATTGTGACTAATATAAATTGTGTTTATTATTTTTCATGGCCCTACCAAATGAGCAGTTGTGATAGTTTTTGATCAACTGCTCAGATTGAACAACTTCAATCTACACTAATAAATCTTTCGTTTTAATATTAGATTGTTTAAAAAATGTTTTCTTGTTATGAGTCTACTTTAAACTGAATAATCTTATGAATATTCATTGAATTCAATCGAAATCGGCCCACTTTTGCCTGCGTAACACAAGACGATCAGTTCCGTCTGAATTTAAAGTGTGTGCTTGGGATGCGATGAAATCGACGAAGGCCGTTTTTGCCTGGTCCCGATTGGCGAAGCTTCTACCGGCGAGAAAGATATCGAAGTGCTTGAAAAGATGGTAGTCAGTTGGTGAGAGGTCTGGGGAGTATGGTGGGTGAGACAGATCTAATATCAAAATGAAAATTATTGAAACGAAAGTCGGACGAATCCCTCTCAAGATTTCAAAATATTGATTTGCAACACCACCAACTATTCTAAATGAAATGAGCCATATTATAAGGATCGCGATTTTAGTCATAAATGAAAACCAGGAAATTGTGCTTCCATAACTTCTCCACAAAATAGGATAAACATGGTGAATCTGGGACAAGCCATGAATGATAAGTTTGTGATTTGAAACTGTGGCAGGTGCTAGGCACGGTTCTATTTCTGAATATAAAGATGCCAAATATTGATTTTCTTCTTAAGGGAAGGGCTGTCCTGAATGAAAACTTGTATTGATTGATGCAGCTTTATTTTAATCAAACGTTGGAAAGCAAGGATGGCATTTGGTGCTCTCTGTTCTTTAAGGCTTGATTTGTGCAGTTTGAATGTGTGATATCTTTTGTTGCTCTAGATTTTACGAACAAAGCATCAATGGCATTTTTTTGTCAAAATGTATTTTTTATGCATAACTTTAGGTTACCCATGTAATAATCGGTGATACAATGTGTTTAATAAAAATCAAGGTCACCAATGTAAGTAATTTTGAAGGTGAATTGGAATACCTTGTACTCTGTATATTTTTTTGATAAGGAATGCTTTTTAGTAGTGCAGAAATGAAATTTTTAAAACGTAAAAGATTTCAAAGAGACACAGTAATATCTTTTTTTTTAGGCTTGGTCCTTCAATGCATAAGTTTTCTGTAACTTGAATCACGTGTTGGGTTAGGTTTCCGCAGTCAGTAGTATGCTGTCGTTGAGTTCGGGTTGAACCGCGTTTTGTATTCGACGTTTCCCACAAAGCTTCCCCTTCCTACAATACAGGTTTAACTGACAAAATTGGCCGAATTCCCAAAAAACTGGACATAAAAACGATATTCACCGCCAACAATCGGATTTCCACATTTCTCCGTTCCCCCAAGAATAAAATTGTCAATCCCAAGGTATATATGAAATTCCATGCTTCGATTGGGATAGAACATATGTAGGCCAAGCCAACAGACCTGTGACAAGTAGAGTATACGAACATCAACTTGCTATCCGAAAGTCGGACCCATCCTCAGCCCTGTCCAAACATCATCAAGAGGCAGGACACAACATTGACTTTGCGAACACTAAAACCTTCGCTACAGGTCCGATAATTCGCGGGGCCATCAAAATCGAGAAGCCTGAAGCCTAGACCCCACATTTCCACTTCAGTAGCTTCCGCCGATATAAATACCACTGAACACCCATCGATACTTCAGTTACATCAATGGAGTAGGCAGATTGAGACCTTAGAAAGAACGCATGATAAGACCTGAAAATACCTCCAAAATGGGAGTCGAAACGTCGAATACAAAACTTCAGACGCGGTTCAACCCGAACTCAACGACAATGCCGCACATAAAGCTGAAGTAAAACCATCAGGTACCTGTGCAACGTCTTCCATTCGGAAAATTCGTCGCAAGTAACTTCCTATATGTGGAAACCAGTAATTAATTTCATTTGGTCGGGTCAACCACCGATAAACCGGTTTCGGAGTACTTGCTCCTCGTCAGTACCGAGAAATTCATTTTAGACAAAGTGAACTGCCTGAGTATCCCAAACAATCGAAATCAATTCCAACTAGTCATCAAGCTCTATCTGCAGTTGATGCAGTAGGATGTCCACTGCGCCATCTGCAGACAAAATCCGGAAACAACTCCACAAATACATACTTACATACCTCTCATATGGACTTTAGATATACTAGAATACCTATTCACTTGTAAAATAATCCTCGTTCCACGATTCTGTAACTTTTGTAAAGCCGATACCTTATTTTGGTCAAATAAGTATAACAGACCAGCACAATAATCAAAATGGGGTTGGATTATACAATTATATATTGTAATTTTTAAGTACATCCAAAGCTGAGATGAAATTCTTGAGAAAAATATATTTTTTTAGTAATTTTTCTACATATTTAATCAAAATGAGCATGAAAAGATAAACGATTATCCACCATGAAACCTAAGTATTTGAATTCACTTACGAACTCTATTACATCACCTGCAATTTGTAATCTTATGTTGAGATTGTTGATGAGTGATAGCTTATAACCAGTTGATAATATCATATATTTTGCTTTGGAGGTGTTGAGTTTTAATTTATTGCTATTCATGGACTTGAAAACATTTCTTAGTTCATTATTCCTTTGATCAGCTACTGTTTCTATATTATCTCCTGAAATTGATAACAAAGTGTCATCTGCAAAAAGGTTCATGAAATCACAACCATGGATGGTATCTATATCATTCAGGTAGATTAAAAATAATATAGGTCCCAAAACACTCCCCTGAGGTACCCCGAAAACGACATCGCGAGATGATGACACTTAATTTTTTATTTTGGTTACCTGTTTGCGTTGTGATAAATAATCAGTCAGCCATAACAAAACAGTTTCCCTGATACCAATACTTTGCAGTTTATTTAGTAATATGTGGCGATCAATGTCTCAAAAGCTCTTTCAAAAATACGGCTATGATATAATGTCCCTTATCTATTGATTCTTTCATTTTGATATTGTGACTTGTAATGCAGACTCACATGAATGATGTTTTCTAAAACCTGACTGATATTTCAGTAAAATATCATTATTTTCTAGAAATTCAATGAGTTGATTATAAACTGCGAGTTCTAATATTTTTTCAGTACAAGGCAAAGTTTTGATTGGTCTAAATTCCCAGGATTTATTTGTGTTAGGGACTTTCTGAATTGGCACAAGACCACTGGTCTTGAGCTCCTTCGGAAATCTGCCAGTGCTCAAGGATGTATTTATAAAATGCAACAATGCATGTCCATCAACACCAAACGTGTATAGATGGTTGAACCTCTGAAGAAGCAGCCGCTCGCGCTAGCGAAACGTCAGGAAGAAATTTCAAAAATCCACGGCTTTCAAACTCGAAAAACAGCGACACTGAAAACCTCAGCCGCCGAAAGTCTAAACAATTTTGTCATTGTGTTAATTGTAACCAAATTTGGTGTAATACGCTTTCAATGAAAACATTGATTTATTTATCATCATTATTAATATTCGTTTTAGGACTCCGACCCAGTTTCCTCAACCACAGCTGCAACTCCCTCCCGAGGACCTCATGGTACAACGCGAATTACACCAGCAACGTCCTCCGAGGCCCAACTCGATCGAGATCCGCCGTTCGTACCAGCAGGAGGTGCCAGACGGTCTGCCTTCTCCGACGTACCCTCCATACGAAGAAAACCCATACCAACATGGTCTCTACAGCCAGGGACCCCTCAGTTCCGAGTCGTTATATGCGGGAGGCACTCCGACGCGTGGCAACAAAATCAGGCCTAGCCAACCACCTCCGGCGCCTCCGAGCAACAACAGCACTCCCTCTGCCAACACCCCGACGAGAGGTAGGAGCATCTCCTCCGGCAGGGATAATCTCCCGCCTCCTCCTCCCCCTCCCGAAGCTACCATGTCGCCTCCTAACGGAATCCCTGCTCACGTCGTGAGGCAGGCAAGTCAATCTAGATCCAACAGTCCTCATTCCCACACGGCCACTCCGGAGCCTGTCCAAGACTTACCGCCTCCTCCGCCCGCTCCCGTCAAGCAGGCGTCTCCCCCCAAGCAGCAGACCCCTGTGGCTCCCCCGCCTCCGCCCCCTCCGCCCATGCCCGTGATGACCAATGGACCCGCGGTGGCTCCCCTTCCCATGTTGAACGGAGATCTGGCTAGAATTCTGAATTCCTCGACGCCCGTTAAGTTGACTCCGGTGAAGGACCGTCCCATGAGTAAACCGCCGATGGTGGATCCCCGAAACGATCTGCTCAAAGCTATCCGCGACGGCATCAAGCTGCGGAAGGTCGAGAAGATCGAGCAGAAGGAGGTGGAACGCGGAAACGGATTGCACGACGTGGCGAGCATCTTAGCTAGGAGGGTCGCAGTTGAGTTCAGCGATTCAGATTCGGGGAGCGAGTCCGAATGTGATAGCGAAGGTTGGGGGGAAAACGAGACTTCGGCGTGACACAGACGCAAGGCTAGCAGCGCTAGTCAGGTGTACTGAGCGGAAACAACGAATGTACAGGGAACGAGAGCTTTTCGGAAGAAATTGAGTGTGGTATCGACCCGTTTAGTTCTTTGTCGAAATTGATCAGTAGAATTGAGAGACCGGGGAAAGGTTGTTGGTAATTTTGGGTGGGAGGGAAGAGGATTTAATGGAGGGGGGCTGGAAAATTTTATTGGAGAGAAACAAAAAGCTGAGTTCGTCACCTAGAAAGCAAAAAACGTGAATGTTTCCTTGTAATTTGTATTACATTCTTGTGCATTTCCTAAAGTCAAATCTTCTTGTTAGTTTTGAAAAAATAAATTCTGCCACTTAGCGATACTACCGAGTTATTTAAAAATACAGAGTGTTCAAAAGTGAAACATGAACAAAAACTATTATTTCAAAATTGTTAACCTTCCTTCTGGATGAAAAATATGAAAAAGCAATAGACTGAGTAAAAATATTCTCAAAAGGAAACTTATTGGACGATTGAATAGCATTATTAATGATAATCTTGCCACTAGAATCAATGAAGTCTCCCCGGAACGCCAATTAAGTTTTATTGTTGTTTTATAATTTCGTGAGACGTGACTTGGGAGGAAGAAACTTTCGATTCCATTCGATACAATATAGGCCTTCAATTGGGTCATTCAAATATCAATAATCGCAGAACATTTGAGTGCAATAACGATAAATTTATATTCGTTATTTTTCAGGATTGTTAAAACATATCACTGTCGATAATGTTATTCAAACGACCATTTGTATCAGTGACAGACTTGTTTGTCACAAAGGAACAGGCAAACTTCGAAAGTTAACTGTGGAAAATATTCACAAAGACTAAGGAACATTCGAGTTGAATATCCGAACACTTGATCAAAAAAAATTTTGGCTTCAATTGATACAAATATTATTTGTCAATTCTGGAGCACTAGACTGAATGCTAGGCTGGAATGAATGCAATAAAATTATGCACATTCAGGAAGTCCAAAGTATAATAACGAAGGAAATTAGGACTTGACCAGAATGAAATATTACTGAGCTTATTCTCATCAATGATGATAATTATATTTTATTTGAAATTTGTTTCGCAGCACGTTAGCTTCATCAGTTACTGGTTAAGTCACTAACGGATGCAGCTACCGAGTAGTAAAACTTTTAGCTTCATTGGTCAATGGGCAAGCAAATGGCTGACGAAGCTACTGTCTAGCGAAGCTGGTAGCTTCATTGGTTACTGGTTAAGCCAGAACCGTTACTGGTTAAGCCAGTAACTGGTAAAACTACCATGTGACGAAATGTGTAGCTTCATCAGTTGTTGGTTAAGCCAGTGACTAATGTATTTCAAAATGCATGTAAAACCAGTATTTAAAACGCGTGTCGCTACATGGTAACAGGGTAAGCCATTAACCGATGTAGCTACTGTGTGGTGAACTGGTAGCTTCATTGGTTACTGGTTAAGCCAGTAACTTGTAAAACTACCATGTGACGAAATGTGTAGCTTAATCAGTTATTGGTTAAGCCAGTAACTGATGAATTTCAAAGTGCATGTAAAAACAGTATTTGAAACGTGTGTCCCTACATGGTAACTGGGTAAGCTATTAAACGATGTAGCTACTGTGTGGTGAACTGGTAGCTTCATTAGTTACTGGTTAAGCCAGTAACTTGTAAAACTACCATGTGACGAAATGTGTAGCTTAATCAGTTATTGGTTGAGCCAGTAACTGATGAATTTCAAAATGCATGTAAAAACAGTATTTAAAACGCGTGTCCCTACATGGTAACTGGGTAAGCCAGTAACCGATGAAGCTACTGTGTGTGAACTGGTAGTTTCATCGGTTACTGGTTAAGCCGGTAACTGGTAAAGCTACAGTGTAGCAAAATGCATATCTTCGTTAGTTACTGGCTTACTCAGCTACCATGTAAGGAAACGTGTTTTGAATACTAGTGTTTATATGTAATTTTGTTCAGTACTGGTAGCTCCATCGGTTACTGATTAAGCTGGTAACTCGTGAAGCTACAGTGTAGCGAAATGCGTAGCTTCGTTAGTTACTGCCTTACTCAGCTACCATGTAGGGAAACGTGTTTTGAATACTAGTTTTTATACGCATTTTTAATCAGCACTAGTAGCTTCATCGGTTTCTGGTTAAGCTGGTAACTGGTAAAGCTACGGTGTAGCAAAATGCATAGCTTCGTTAGTTACTGGCTTACTCAGCTACCATGTAAGGAAACGTGTTTTGAATACTAGTGTTTATACGCAATTTTGAAGTGATTTGTTTATTTATTTAGTATCACTTAAGAAATACAATTAGCAATTACACAATGCATCTACAACTTGAAAAACTAATTGGTACTGATACTGCACTAAGGGCAAAATATGATTAATAAATACTAATTTCTCTGCGGTTTACCTTGTGTAATAAGACTAGCTTCATAAAAAGTCTTTCTCTGTACACACCACTGCAAGATGTTGAAAGATAAGAGGCATTGCAATCAATAAAATAAGACAATGAATGAAACAATCTGTTCGATTGATGACCTATTTGTTTCGTGGAAACTCATAATAAATATGGGATAGATAAAATAACTTTTGCCTAATTTCTACTAGGTTTTTTATTTGTTACCGTTTTCGATTATTAAACCATTCTCAAGTGAACTGACGCAGCTATTCCCTCTAGAGGCGTCAGTTCAGGTGATATAGTGGGCTATTCTGAGATAATACGTCTATCGGTTCAAATAATAGACAAATCCAAATGAGTTTTCAATTGATGTTTTGGAAAGAAACAGACTTGTTTGGAAATTATCGAAAATGGAAGACAGGCAAACTTGGACCCCTACGAGTGGCCCACTAGATCACACAATATGATGTCCTTGGATTTTTTTGTGTGAATTTGTGAAATTTAAAGTATACGACGTCAGTCTATTTCAAAACTCTTAGAATAAGAGGTGCTCCTAACAAAATTATTCCAGAAACATTAAATATGAATTTTTTCTTGAAATTGATATTGTTTACTTACAGATTCTTGAAACTAAAACTGCTGCGTTTTTCAAAATAAACTGTCACATATAATTAAAATACCTGTCATACAAGGTATATCTATCTTGCTAAAGACTACCTTTTTACGTAAATTTCGTCCAACCTTGATGTCTGGTCTCGTTCAAAAGTTAAGGTGGAAAACTATTCCCTTCTGCAATGTATAACTATCATTGAAAATAGGGAATCCAGCAAATAATTTGATCAATTTCGATGAGAACTGGAAGGGATCTTCAGACTGCACTGTCGAGGAATCAAAATGAGTTTTATATTTCAGGGATAGGCAAGTTTCTGTGTCTGCTTTGTGTAAGGTTTCTTTGTTATTGTTTTAAAGAGTTTATTTATTTAACGATTATATGATTTTTTGGCCAACTGGATTCATTGTCAATCAACTACAGTTATATAGTTTGTTTCCGTTGAAAGATACTTTGAATAGTAACCCAGAAAGAATATTTTTTCAATTTTCAGCAAGTACAATGACACGTTTATATTCAGTCAACCAAAATACTTGAATGCAAATACTTGAAATTTTGAAAGAGTGTGTACTGAAAGCAGGAGGCATGTGAGAATCCATTGCTTTTTATCCAACGTACGGATATCATTTGGTGTAATTTCATTTCGCTAGATGTTTTTGCACTTTTGTAAATGGAAGAAGTATCTTATAATTGAGTTTTTCTGACACTCGAACTGCAGAACACTCCAGGTTACAATTTCCCAAAATAAAATTAATCGTTCCAACCAACTGTTTTCCGCAGTCTTGAGGTTAGAAAAATTAGTTTCAGAGATTCTACCGCTGTGGGAGAAAAGACGTCTGCTTTGGTTTTAGTTTTTTTTTTTTTTTGCTTGAACTCGTTTCTAAATGGTAGGTTAAGATGTTTCGAAATATAATCAAAATATGTAGTACATACCGATTCCATATTGACCCAAAAATATTCCATTGTGCCAAATGGTACACGTTTCCTAATTTGGTGTTTCTACAATAAACTATTTGACCCACTCACTTTTTTTTTAAGCAAAGTGCAATTGTAAGTTTATTAAGCAAACTGAATTCAAACTACGTGTCTGGAATAGAAATAGATAGTGATACTAAAACTGTAATTGAATGTGTATATCCACACGTCTGTAGAATTATTAAAAAAAAACATTCATTTGTAAATTATTCCAAAAGTAAAGCCAAACCTTCAGTATTATGCTACGAAATAATTCCTCATTCATTTCAATGAAGATTTTGGAATTTTTCAGTGGGGGGTTTTTCAAAACTTTTGATATTGTGCTATTTGAGTTACTAATTTCGTCGAAACTAACCATAGATACAAATTAAAGTGATACAGACCTTAGTTGGAACATTCCAATTTTTTCTCACTCGAATTTGAATTGCGAGTTTGTACGTAGAATGCTTTTTAGAAACAAATTATGTAAATACTGTTATGAATGAAGACTTTTGTAAAATTTGTAAGCTTTTCTTTTTAGTTCGTAAGGTGTATAGTAAATATTTAACTCGTACTATTCTAATACTCTTTTAATACTTCGTTATTGTCACCCCCATCAGCCGAATATTTGTATGAATATTATTGGGAAAATAAAGATCAATGAAAGTTGGTTATTTCTTTATAGAAAATTTCCTATTTGTTTCAATGTTTGAGGTACTTGGGAATCTCCAAGTGACATAAAATCATGAGTTCAAAATTCTCTTGTGAAAAAAAAGTTTTGGCTTTCTTTTTTCCAAGTTTTTATACACATTTTCAATCAGTACTAGTAGCTTCATCGGTTTCTGGTTAAGCTGGTAACTGGTAAAGCTACAGTGTAGCAAAATGCATAGCTTCGTTAGTTACTGGCTTACTCAGCTACCATGTAAGGAAACGTGTTTTGAATACTAGTGTTTATACGCAATTTTGATCAGAACTGGTAGCTTCATCTCTTACTGGTTAAGCTGGTAACTCGTGAAGCTACAGTGTAGCGAAATGCGTAGCTTCGTCAGTTACTGCCTTACTCAGCTACCATGTAAGGAAACGTGTTTTGAATACTAGTGTTTATACGCAATTTTGAAGTGATTGTTTATTACTTTAGTATCACTTAAGAAATACAATCAGCAATTACACAATGCATCTACAACTTGAAAAACTAATTGGTACTGATACTGCACTAAGGGCAAAATATGATTGATAAATACTAATTTCTNTTTTTTCAGTTTCTTGTATGAAATTATTGAATATTATAATATTCAAAAGTCGAGTTGATAATCAGTTCTCCTCTCCTTCACAAAGTAGGTTCAGCAAGTTTTTCTACCACATCTTCATTTTCAATAAATGACACATCTTCCTGCTCTTTCCAACAAAAAACTGTGGTATCTTCATGCGTCTCTTTCATTCGTGTGAATTTTACTCTTGGTTTACCAGCTTCAATATCCATAACTTGATCTACGTAATGCAACACTTTCTTCTTGGTTGCAAATTTAATTACAACCCAGTCATTGATTAGGTGTAGTATGTTGGTCATGCATGTCACTACCATTGCAGTTTCCTAAAGTCTTCTCAAATTCCAAATCTGACTCTTCTTCTCTCTGCATGGCTTGTATAATGGAGGAATCACTGCTATCCTCATCTGCAAAATCAATTTCACTTGGAATATCTGATTTGCTGTCTGATGAAACCGTTATTTTCTTACACTTCTTTTGTTTTTTCTGAATTATCTGACTCTCTTCCTTTCTTGTTATTTCGTCTTGGGTAGCATTTTCCGCTGGTTGGGTTTCATGGGTGCCTGATGTGGTTGTTTTCTTAAGTTTCTTATTCACTCCTGCCCCACTCCTCACAAAACAAAACAAGTTGATATCCAAGAAAGTTACAAAAACTAATAAAATGCACATTTTTCAAGGGTTTGCAATATCAAGAAAGCCTCTTCAGCTGTATCACAATAGCCCCAATATTTGTATCAAATTAACCCCCTTATTTGTATCAAATTAGCCCCCTATATGTGACGCCATATATCTCGTGATAAGATTACCTATTTGGTTTTGTTTTCAAATGTAGAAACATAAAGCTATCTTCCCCCAATATGGGTGGCGCATAAAAACATTTCTACCTCAATAAACAAAGGAGTTCGAATAAAAGTTTACAGTCAGTCACTGAAATTTTTTTTACTTAAAAAAATCACTGCTGATTATTTATTTTTTTATTGTCCACCTACCATGCAATAATGGGAAATTCCTTTATGCCCAACAATAATAGAATGTATTATTACTTAGTCAGTATTTTTTTAAAACTATTTTTGGCACAAAGCACGTAAATAATCTCCTGGTGTATCACATTAGCCCCGATTGACCCTACATGTTTATGGGAGATTAATTTTTGAAAATGAAAGTTTTTGGTTTATTGCAAAAACTGAGGGATATAGGATTTAATGAACATCCCATAAAATGTTTTTCAAATTATTTAATTGGTTGTATGTAGGTACTTAAAGTAGGTAATGACAGACGTGAATTTAGGGACGACGAAGACTCCTGCTTTGCCCCATTACTTTTCAATTTATTAATTAACGGCATCAGAAATTATTCATCCGCATGAAATCAAAGGATGATCAAATATTTCTTCAACAAGAGGTTGTTGATGATCTAGCCAAATGGTGTTTGGAAAACAAATTAAATCTTTATATCTATAAACTAATTGAACATATGATTTTCATCTGCATGAATTAAAGTCCAGTTTCCTAGTCATTATTTTAACTGCATAACAGCCTGAGGCTAGTTTTTTATTCATGTTTCTTTATGTGTTCTTCAAACTTTAGCTCATCATCTAAAAATACACCCATACTTTAAAGATTTGTTAATATTATAATAATTACTTTGTTCTTTTCTTTTTAGAGACAGTTTTTCGAAATAGTTTCTCTCCCTATGGAGATTTTCTGTGAAAGTGTCTATAGAAAAGAGACAAGTCCTCAATCACCTTTGATATTGAACAATAAAAATGTTGCTTGTGTACTTTGGGTCTCCAATCAAACAGATGGCCTTCCAATAAATTGATGGATGTAGCCGTTACTACGTGGTAGGAGATCATAATGAAAAGAGAAATGAAAATTTCTATGTTTTTACCACTTTTATTTGTGAACTCTCGTTTATTGTATAAGTTTGAGAATGTCAATATAGGACGAAACTGCAGTAACGTTAGTTACAAATAAAAGTGGTAAAGAACATAGAAATTTTCATTTCTCTTTTCAAACAGATGTCCGTTTTTCATATATGTGAGCGAGGGTACATTTGGGCTTCGCGTTAAATTTTATTAGTTCGGACGTCCATTGTCTGATATATGACTCTAATATGATTCGAAATCTATGATAGAACAAATAAAATCAAAATTATTCTTGTTGGGATCATTTAAGACAATAGAAGTCCGAACTAGTACAATTCACCATGAAACATTGTCAATCACTTTGAAACAAAACTTCGCGCATTGCAGTGGAAGGTCGAATAGATCCACATTAGACATTAGACCTACTACCTTTTTTTTTACAAAAATAGCAGTATAGGAATTGTGCTGGGTATGTTACGATAAAAAGTAAAATCTCGCGAATCCTTGACTCGCATAAGTTTCGTCTTTTGAGATAACAGCTTGTCTACGAAAAAAATTGACGGTAAAACCCATATGCTCCTCAAAACAAAATAAATTCATTTGAAATGATCGATTCCGAATGAACTTTATTGAAAAATATACAAAAATTTAATGTTCCCTCCTAAATATCTGAAATCATAATCTTGGCAATCTTGACAGTGCTTGTCTTATTCTTCTTTGGTGCTGATGTGTTTGATCAAGTCAATGACTCTGCAGGAATATCCGTACTCATTGTCATACCACGATATCAATTTCACAAAATTATCGTTGAGAGCAATCCCAGCCAAGGCGTCGAAAATGGAAGAGTTAGGGTTGCCTATAAAGTCTGAGGAAACAACTTGTTCGTCGGTGTATCCGATGATACCTTTCATCGGCCCTTCAGAACATTCTTTTATTTTCGCTTTGATTTGCTCATAAGTAGTTGCTTTGCCAAGACGAACCGTTAGATCTACTACAGAAACGTCAGGCACAGGAACACGAAATGCCATTCCGGTTAATTTGCCTGAAAATAATTTATTGATTCAATGGATGAGCCAGACATTCTACAAAAAGATTGGCAACACAAAATATTGCAGCTTTCCTAATCTCTCACACCAACATTCCACGACAGATGAAACCTGACTCCCAACCAGTACTGCCAACACAATAAAGGTGTGAGGTTGATGTAAAAATCTACAAAATCCGATAGATAAGTGCAAAACGAAAAATTATAGAGAAATGTACGCATACTAAATCATTATTTGGGATAATGTGTACCTGAAATTGAAGAATTGCAGTTTAATGAAAAAAAAAATTACAAATTGAAATATGTCATCTTTGTTTGTCTCATACAGGTAACATATTCATTGTCCTTTATTAGCTATAACCGATGTTACCAAATGGTGAAATAGAAACGAATCCCTTTAAATGTTGAATCCATTTCATTCCTCTTTTTTAAGTATTTAAATAATTTTTTAAAGAAACAAGGTTGAAATGATAAGTTTAAAATGCGTTGTTTTAGATCTCTTTTATGAAAATTACTTGATTTTCGTCAGAAGGAACATTTCCCATTACGTCCCAAAAATGAAAATGCGGAAGGAACTCAGAAAGATAGGTTATTTATTCATTAGCAAATTGTCAAATGTCATTATTTTACCGCAGTTGGCAACCATGGGTTCGCATCACTTAATAAGGTTAACATACATTGTTTATAGCAACACTTATTTATATATGCTTGCTGCTCTCATTATTGAATTTCGACCTAATTTTTTCAAATAGTTCATTGCTTTGTTATTAGGAGCATGTAACCCAAACATGAAGTTTATTTTAATAAGCACATAATCATTGCTGTTATTGACCAGTTAACAGTTGCCTTTGATAATGTCTACCGCAGTATTAGATGAAACGTCAGGCACAAAAACCTGCAGATCACGGTCAAAAAACCCAGAGAATAGCTTTGACACAGTGAACATGTTCTTATATCCTGAACGTTTGTTATTATTTACATGTCTCTTTTCAGTTCGTGTTATAACCTATTTTTAGTGATTTCATGTATATGTTATTTATATTTCGCACAAGGCTTTGTCAATAAGAATTTATTCTTCAGACAATAAGTATATTAAACTTTCCACACAAACATTTATTTTGATTAGGTATTTCATTCAGAAGTATTTACTCTGAACTTCATTTTAGTATATGAAACAAATATGAAAAAGGAATTTTGGATAGGACATTGGAGGTGGAGCAACAAAAAAATTCTTTTTATTCGACATGTATTCTGAAATTGGGTATATATAAATAAAAATTCGCGAAAAAGTACGTTCAGTTGAATTAATATGTGAAAGAACTACTATCTAGTTCATTTCAATTTCGATCAGAATGTTTCCACCACAGCCTAGCTGTGGCTTAAAAAGAAAATTTCATTCTCAATGAGCACAAAAATCTCCTTATGCATCTTTGCTAGCAACGAACTTGATCAAATCGACAACCCTGTTGGAATAACCAAACTCGTTATCGTACCAAGAAACCAATTTCACAAACTGTGGGTTGAGTTGGATGCCAGACGTAGCGTCAAAGATGGACGAATGAGTATCCCCGATGAAGTCAGAGGATACGACAGCCTCCTCTGTGTAATCCAGAATGCCCTTCAATGGTCCTTCGGCGGCCTCCTTGACTTTAGCTTTGATTTCGTCATAGGTAGCTGGCTTGCCGAGACGGCAAGTCAAGTCGACGACCGAAACATTGGCCACTGGCACACGGAAGGCCATTCCAGTGAGTTTGCCTGCAAGAGTTGAGAATCACATGAAATCACAGGCTTGAGCGAGACAAATATATGTGAACAAGATATTTTCAAATTAAGAACTAGTTTCGTGCAAACTACACCCTGAAAGTAAATATTGATTCAAGTTCAAAGTCATTTACTGTTCATTTTCTCAATTCCCAAAAAAACTAGTGATTTATAACAAAGGAACTTACCGACGAGTGAAGGAATGACTTTCGTTACTGCCTTAGCAGCGCCAGTTGAAGCTGGAATGATGTTTTGTCCAGCACCACGACCGTCACGCCACAGTTTACCAGAAGGACCGTCGACAGTCTTCTGGGTTGCTGTGGTTGCGTGCACGGTGGTCATGAGACCCTCAACAATTTCAAAGTTGTCGTGGATAACTTTAGCAAGAGGAGCCAAACAGTTGGTGGTGCAGGAAGCGTTCGAGATGATCTGTAAAACAAATACGTGGAGTGCTAACCTTTTATTAATACAGTGAAATCAGTAACTTACCTTATCCTTTGGATCGTAAGCATCAAGGTTAACGCCACAGACGTACATTGGGGCATCAGCTGAAGGAGCAGTTATTATCACTCTTTTGGCACCTCCTTCCAAATGAGCACTGGCTTTTTCGATGGTGGTGAATACGCCGGTAGATTCCACAACATAATCAGCCCCATATTTGCCCCAAGGAATGCTCTGAAAATATTCAATACACATTACCTTTTTTGTTAAAACCTTTCAAGATAGTTCATATGTAAAAAGTAATTATTGGCGCTCCAGGGCGACTTCGTTGACTCCAGTGGCGCATTTGCTTTTTCAGCTGCAGGAAAACCCGGAAAAACCTGCATCACAATATCCTCTCTTTCGTATAACAAAATGTAGGGTGTCATTTTGAAATTTGGCCCATAGTTTTAGACCTACACAAATATATTTCAAATACTCACCTTAGGATCCTTCTCTTGAGATACTGCGATTTTCTTTCCATTGACAACAAGATTGGTACCATCGGAATATACGCAACCTTTGAATCGTCCGTGAGTGGAATCAAATTTGAAGAGGTACACCATGTAGTCGACATTGAGGAAGGGATCATTGATAAGAACGACATCAGCTCCCCGTTCGATGGAAGCTCGGAGGACCAAACGTCCAATACGTCCAAATCCGTTGATACCAACTTTTGCCATTGCAAATTTTGAACTGTGAAACAAGCAAGTCAAATCAGAAAAACTGATTCGTTAATAACCCTNTCCTACTGATAAGTCAGATAATCAAAATTATAAAACTTTCAACATATTTTGGAGAAAGAAACAAGATATTAAAATTGCATATAGAACAGGTAATACGTTGGGAAAATTAGTTAAAAATAATAAAGACAAAACATCCAAGATCGAGAAATCAGGAGTATATAAATTAAATTGTGAAACTTGTTCTAAAAGGTATATATTGGTCAAACTGGCAGAACATTTAGGAATCGCATCCAAGAATATAATATGAGCTACAATCTCTATATTCAATCAAGCACTGGTATATTCTAAAGGCAGTGCTAACATAATGAGTTTTACAAAAACTTCTCTGCACGCAGCTCTATAAACCAAATATATACACACTTAATAGCAGGATATAAATGTCTAATGGATGATTCATTTAATAAACTGAATTGCATTATTTTTATCACTATTCATAAACAGTTATCTTGAAGGCGTGGATTTATCAACATGTTTATATAATATATTGGTGTCATCAGCAAACCAAATAGAAATACAAAAAGCAAAATAAAAATACAGGTATGAACAGAAGTTAATACTATTCTAAACTGGTAGTGAATAAAAAATATAAACCCAACACGAAATTGTTAAAAGCAGTGTATTTATCTTGAGAACTCATAAAAACTGCTGCCTACAATAAACCTTTTATTAGCAATTTCAGTTTACTAATGTTTTCTAATTCAAGGTTTTTCTTGCCGGCACCAGTTTTCAAGTACTTAGTCTGTTCAAAAAAGGGTGAATGTTCATATTTCGCGATTTGCGATTTTTTTATTCTTTTAGGTTGGCAAAATTGCAGAATTTTTACCAAAAAAAATCGTCGCATAGCTTAGGAATTGTTGAATGACGTCAACGGCGATCCAGCCACCGTATTCACCAGATTTGGCACCATGCGACTTTCTCCAGTTCCCAAAATTGAAGACATCCATTAAAGGACTGCTTCGAATATTGGAAAAAACGATGTATGATTCTCCGCACTTTACCGGATACCGGAAAGTTCGCATTGCCGAGCATAAGACACACACACAGCGAGGAGAAACCAGCAAATCCGGAATAGCAGAGCATGTTTGGACTCATCAACATCACTCAAGTGGTCTCAAGCTGAAGTCATCCACAAGGAGGAACACTGGTTTAGAAGAAAATTCAAGGAAGCCGCGTATATGTTGTCCAACAACGCATGTAGCCAAGCTAGCGTAGAGATACGCAACATATGGAAATCTATAATCAAGCGGAACACGACCAGCTCCCGCTAAAACCGATGAAGCGGAGAGAGGGAAGAGGGGATAGATGAAAGCACTCGAATGACCTATAAATAGTCAGATCTCGGAGGAATAAGTCCAATCATCACCCGAAGACGATTGTGGATGCTAACAAACGAAACGTCGTTGATGAATTTATATCATATTAGACAATGGAAGTCTGAACTAATGAAATAGTATCTTGAGTTTTTATAATTTTCTTCGCAACCATATATCTTTCTGTTCTGATTATCAAGTGTTGCTTGTAAACCTTTTTTTTTATCATTCAAAATTCAATATTTTGAAGAAAGTTATCGCGATTTGATGTAAAATTTTCATTTCAATTTCGAAGTTGTGAATTAAAAAGTCGCTATTCCCAACAGCTATGCCAGCTATTTAATTTTTTAGTAGAGACCTGGTGATGGACTTGCGAAAAGTCCGAAACGTCAGCAAACGTTTAACCATATTTAATTTATTGGTACTGTGCCAAAGCAGCTCCTAAGTGTAATCCAACATGCAAGGTCGGTTAAATTGAACAAAAGTTTTCTACTTTGGGGAACTAGAATAATCTCTTTTCAGATTGAGAATATCAGTGGTTGTTTTTGAAATATTCGACAAAAACTAGGATTGTCGAATTTACTTTTTCTAAACGATAAGACCTACAAGGTCTTACCGTTTCCGAGATATTAATGGGATCAGCTGAAAAAAACGGCCTGTATATTTGAAAAAAATCAATTTCATTTCGTATTCAATAATCGAGTATTTCTATCTTGACCATCTCAATTTATTGATAATTAAATGTTATCTGAAATAACAGACAACATACACCAATTAAAATTTCGTTAATTAGAACAAATACGTATTTTCAAGATGCAGGTATTGCATTTCCTATCCAAAGTTATGCATAATTTTCACACTGATTTTGGGCATGTTCCTGTATTTATTGATTAACTTTCTTGTTCAATTCCGGTTTGACCAGAAAAAAATCATATTAGTAATGAATTGTTACTGTGTTCAAGAAGCAAGATTTATTAAGATTTTTTTATTTCAAAAAATGAACATGATGCTTGAGAGAACTATGATAGTGTTATCAGATTACTATTTGTGTAAATAATTCCAGCAATTTGTTGTGATTGTCACAGTGGAATTAATAAATAGATATCATTATCTCCGAATAAAAACACTTCATAAAATTCACAGTATTGAGTGTCAAAATCGGTATTTACTAAGTACTGAAAAAGAGTTGAAAAAGGAGTTGATTTTCTCACAAAAAATGATTGGATATTTCTCTGGCTAATGCTTTTTGATCATAAGTAAGTTTTGGGCAACACAATGTACATATGCAAGTTGTAAAATACCATGTAGATACTTATTTCAAAAATCTTGGATGTGGTTTAGGTAACACAATGTTTGTCTTTATTCAGAAAACTTGACCTTGCAAATACTGCTGAAGCCATTTTAATTGACTGAAAAAAAAATTAAATCTACCTACCAATCATGTGAAACTAATTTCCGAATCAAATTTTTAGGTATAACAAAGAACAAAATCCATTTTTTTAAATCAAAGTCATTCAAATTCTGTTCTAAATCTGAAACTTTACATTTTCCAGGATTTAATTGATTAGTATATTTTTTGAGTGAACAAGTAATTTAAATAAGCAGTCTGACCCCTAAATTTCAATAATATAGAAATATCATTCAAAAATAGTTTCAAAAAATAAAAAGTGTGAATGAAACCTCATCTCAATGAGATACCAGATGCCAGGCACATAAATAAAGTTTCATCAACCCCCAGCAGCTGAAGGTCAGGAAAGGTCAATACCGGCACTGGAACATTATTTTAATTTCCAAAGTCGGGCATTTTTTCAAGCACTGGAAATGTAACATTTCACTGATGCTTGCCAAGTTTGTAAAATTAGCTAATGAATCAAGTGACGTGTTCGCCCTTTTTAAAATTTCCTTACCGGCAGATTTAATATCTCATTAAAACTTATAATTATGATGATACAATTAGTAATCCTACGATAATTATTTACTATTTGAACAGAAAAGTAATATAATTCTGCATTGAATGGAATACTTACAGTTAACAAAATGTCAAGAGATCTTCCTCTCAAAGGACGATTCAACTAATGTCGTTTGAAGGGCAAATGCTTGACATAAAAAGAAAACTGGAGGGTCACGTGATTGAAAATTATCGTCAGTGTGACCATCATCGAATTATGGTCTGTCAATGATTTTTCCCAAGAAAGATGAAAATCTGGTGTAAGCATTGATTTTATTCATTTTGTCGAAAGTTTGTCACTGTAATGAAATTACTAGTTTACATACATTGATTGATAGGTGGGATGCATTTTCAACCAATATTCTCTTGGTATTGATTATTCATTTATTTCAAATATTTTTCAAGCACAATGGACTTGGAAACCAATTTACCAAATTTTTGAATGCCATTGACGGTTTTAATTTACTAATCAACTTGTTTAGGTAGTCTTATTGCTTCCACTTTGGCAGCACTGCTCACTATCAAACATATATGTTGTAACCTGTTATTGTAATATGTGCCACTGATTCATTTTTAATGCCAGTTTCTTCGTATTACGTGATAGAGATCTCGTTATCACATATATGATTCCCTTCATTGAGGTACCTGAACAGTGAATTTGGATTTTAAATCCAAATCCTTTCCTCATATCTGCATAAAAAAATCTCGATTAGGACCGAATCTGCTACTAAATAATATATTTGATAAATGTTCAGAATGGTGCATATCTCGATCCAAATTGGAAATTTATTTGAGGATTTGAAAAATATCAAATACCCAATTTTCAGTTGAATTGAAAATTCTATAAATTGGTCTATGTAGATAGCGATTTCTCAAAGAATATTTGTCGCGAATGAAATACTATCTTAATTCGGGTCAAATATTGCAACTCAATTTTGATAAAGCAGTTATTCTTAGTCGATTGACCTGAAATTTTGCATATACGTCAAGTTTGGATGACAAAATGCATGATTAGCTGCGTGTGGCGTTATTTTGTATCCAATATATCGGAGAGCCCAAAATGGTGGATTAGTAGTTTTATAAGTACAAATGATATGGGTGTGCTGAAAGGAATGAAAAATTAACATAACGTCAATCTAATTTGATAGACCGCCCAAGATGGTGGATCGGATATATGGCTTATCAAATGAAAGGGTCTGCTGAAAAGTATAGCAAAAATAATGACGTCACCATAAATCCAAGATGCCTGACGTCATTTTTTATGCGCTCCAATGATGAAAGGGTTTGCTGAAAAATCATACCAAAAATATAATGATGGCACTCTAATCTCTTACCGTTAACTGCTAAAGACTATATGTTTTTATGCATTCCTTAATGTGGATGAAAGAGTTTAGGTGGAATAATCCTCAGAAATCTGAGACAGGTAGAAAGACAATTTGAACTCTACTTGACCTTGAGTTTAAATAATTTTCCTCAAACTAGCGCCACACGTGGTTGTCTTTCGAACATTCAGACAAACAACTAGAAACGTTCATCTACTACATAAAAATTGATGTTTGTTGGTTGATTGGTAAGAGATAAACTTCTACATCGCTCAACCGATCCTGATGAAACTTGACATGTATAAGTAATTTTTCATAGAGAAGATTTTTAGGCTATAAATTTTTCTGTAACTCGCCACTAGATGGCACTGTAGAACACTTTTTTGAAAGCACTGTCCGAGAATACCTGCACTGTTCTATAACGCCGTGCAGGCTTAACCTAAGTTCGTTGATTCTGATAACAGCGATATAGTACTAGTTGGAAATAAAAATCAACTTCAGTCATATTATTCACAAATTTCAACCTTATGATCAACAATAATAATAATATAAAGTCCTAAAATGCAGTGGAATTACAATTTTGACGACAGAAACCCCCTTTCCTTGAAAAATTGGAGGGGAGTAACGATCGATTTGTCCACTGGAGGTAAAAACTCAGTATTATGAAGCAATTACATTACACATAATTAATGTTTTTTTAAATATACATAGAAAAAATAAGATTTCATGGCAGCAATAGTTTTGATAGTTATACAGTTAAAATAGATTGCCTAGATACATTGTATCTGTATCTAGGTCAATCAAATGGATTAGGTTGTCTGGTTATTAAAATTTAATGGGGCATTTAGAACAAGAAATTTTAATCTTTCGTCAACATTGTTTTCTACCTTTGTCACGTTTCAAAATGAATACTACAACTTGTTGAAGATGTCTGTGCGACTTCTTGCTGGAACTAGATCTAGGTACCAATATATTTTGGAGTTATGATAAAAGTGAAAAAAATACATTGACATTTATTTCATACTTTATTTTGTTTCGAATACATATTTTTTGTTATAAAAATACAATTGTATTTATTATCAAAATATGTCTCAGTAAATCGTTAAAGCACAAATACATTAGAACAATGAAATACTTTTTCTTCAATATACATTCTTCCATAGCTTTCTAAAAAAAAATATAAGTAAAACCAATTTGATATCTCGCAAGATAAGGACGGTTACGGTTATAATCAACACTTACAAATATATCTCAAATGAGAAAATGACGTCATGGTTGCTATCCTCATCTCAAATGAAAACAAAAGTTCACTGGAAGCAGTTATCATCAGAAAGCGTATAGTTCTTCAGTGTGAACATTTTTATTAGGCTTTTACATTTTACTCCTCTGACGAATTGAAAGAAGAGTAATTATTGATCTTATTTTGTTACAAAAGAATATTATGGAATATATGTGATGAAGAATTTTATTTTTCTTTGGTCAAGCCGAATAAATATGTTTACAAAAAAAATCCTGTCTCTAAAAATACAAACAACTACGTAAAAAACGTTAGTGCGTTGAAGAACAAATAATACAGTCAACCACAACGTTCATTACAGACATCTTGACAATAACTACTTAGAAAAAACAGTTTTTCACAGTTAGGCTCATCAAAAAACTGAGTTATAATACTTTCTGTATATCAGAGAATATCATTAGGTCATGATTGGGTAATGAAACTGGAATTTCGATAAGTATTAAGTCTTCCTTTGAAAAATTTGCCTATTTGGAAATTCTACTTGTTGCCATACAAAATAAACCGCAGCATATACTGAAATCAGTACAAATTTTCATTTTTGAAACAGTTAACTGTATTACTACCTATGTGGCTTTGCTTCGGGTTTATAACAGTTAACAGAAAACCTGCTTTCATTGGAGATGTTATTTTGTTAGCCATACATAAAAAAGTTGTCAAACTGAACAATTCCACAAGAACTCAACAAAACTCAATAACACAAAATATAAACTTAAAATTAACTAAACTTTTGAAAATAAAATGCACAATAATTCTGGATATCTTTCATATAAGTGTATAACTATAAAAAAAATGTTCACTCCCTTATAACGTATATCACTGAAAAATAATATGATACTGTTTTCAGCATTAGATCTATTTTACATTTTCTGTTTAAAATCAAATAGTAATGCATCAAAAATATGATATTAAACCCATTATAATGTATTCAAAGAACACACCTTTAACATGAGAATTACACTTGAAAATTTTACAAAACCTCAACACGTGTTTCGCTATACGATAGCTTCACAATACTTCAAGTAGTGTGACGCCCGAAGATGCTATCGTCTAGCGAAACACGTGTCGCTGTTTTGTAAACTTTCAAGTGAGTATTGTGACACGAAACACGTGTTACGGTTTTGTAAACTTTCAAGTGGAAATCTACCATTAGGATGTCACAATACTGTGAGTATTGTGACGTGACAATACTCACAATACTGTGTCGCGTTTTTGTAAATTTTCAAGTGGAAATCTACAATTGTCATAATAGTGAGCACTGTGACGTCACAATACTCACAATGCTGTGCTATCGTATAGCGAAACACGTGTCCGGTTTTATAAACTTACAAGTGGAAATCTAACATTAAAGTGTGTTTTTTTTAAATATATAGTATTGTTTCGTTACTCTGCTTGAATATGGAAGTCTTACAAATGTGTTCAAGAGCTCCTCGAACACATTTCTAACTAATTCTAACTAATATTTGGTCTGTATGATTTGGTATCACAAAAAAGAACCATATAAATCGTAAAAGAAGGCATTCTCAAAAAATATTTGCTGTTTTGAATGTAATGAAAGTCTCTCAAAATCTCTGAATCTCCTAAAGATCTCTATTTTTCTCAACCATTTTGTGAGCCCTAAATGTCGAATAACATTTTGGTCTCCAATTGATGGTCACTCAGTACACTGAAAAACTCTATAATAGTTATGGCACAGAACTCATTTTAATTTAACAATAAAGTTTTTCTGAATACTCTCACATTGAAAAATAAAATATATTTCCTTCAATAAAAGTAACATTTCCCTTAAATAAAATGAAATAAAATAAACAGTTTCGTCTTCACATGTAAAAAAAGGCTGATTATTAATAAAAACGAATATGAATGTATATGAGTGAATCACTCAGTTTTGTCTTTAATTTTCTTCAACCTGGTAAGGATAATTTTCCCAACATCATAGTAACACGTTTTTCCATCTTCTTGATATGAATCTAAAATATAAAAAACATTGTACTTTCATATTATACCAATCTTGCACTTTGTGGCAGGTAGTCACGAAATTTTATAAGCAGTTCCTACATTTTTTGGGTCCTTTCTTTATGCATAGATTGATGAAAAAAAAAAGTATATGCTGTCTGTTCAAAAAATAAGGTGAATGTTCATCTTTCTCAATTGAAGAAAATAGTGAGCAAAACCTTGATTTTTGATTAAATTTGCCGTGCTTTTTTTTTCCGAACAGTCCACATATATAACATTAATTTCAAAACACTCATCAAATTTTTGAATATCTCTTAGGTGAACAAAAAATCTTACCTTCATAATAAATCAACTCGCAAAATTCGTTCAACCCAGTTCTTTCAAGCACTTTTTTCAAAGTTAGATAAAACTGCAGAATAATATCATTTTTATGTTTTTCGTAGTAAGCTAAAACAAAAACATAGACTGAAGTATTGAAATTATATTTTCAATAGTTTCTCAATTCAAGTGTAAAACACATGTATTTGATTATATTATCAGATATACAACACAATCCACTTGTTCTGGACCATAAATTTGTTTTATTCAGTACTATTTTTCATTTCGCTAATGAAAGTAACTGTCTGACATTACAATTGTGATTAATGTGGAAGAAGAAAAATTTAAAGATTTGAAAAATGTCACGATGTCAATTCAAAAGAATCACACGCAGCTGGCAAAAGAATCACACGCAGCTGAAGCCATTACTGGAAAAAAATAAGAAGAAGAAGAAAAGAATCGCTTTGTATTGAAAGTGAGCATTTGCATGTTCTGTAAAAATGTATTTGACATTCTATTTTATACTACTTTAACATAGTTCAAAAACGTTTGTTGACAAGAACTTTTTCTTGGGATAATAAACGTATTATCTCTCTCTCTCTCTCCCCCTGTAGTACAGAAAGAAACAGTTTCCTTACCTGAATGCTGTCCGGATGCATAAAAAACGTCCTTGAAAGTTTTGAGCGGTGTTGCATATTCTGCAGCCACATATTTCTTTCTTTTATAGTCAGTTATGATTTTGTAGACTGCATTTTTGTATACTCTGTTTTGTACACCAGCAACCGTAATCACTTTTTCACGAAGTGACTGAAATTTAAAATGAAAGTTATTTCCAACATACCTGTGGGGAATAATTGAGTGAAATTTCCATATCATCTCTTGTAAATGAATTGTATTTCCCTATTAAATAGTATGGTGCTAAAACTATTATCAATACACGCCACTACTGCCAGTTATCGAACCGCATATGTTTCAAATATCCCAGAGGAGTATATTTCCTATAATTCAAAGTGCATCAATTATTTTGTTCATACAGCTGTGTTGTATACACCAGTAATTTGAGATGTCTCCATAAAAATAAATCTAAACTACTTAGGTCTGGTGACCGAGATGGCCACCATCAAATGAAGAAATACATGTAAAGTGAGTTCGAATTATATAAAGGAGATTACGTATAACGCCATCTGCCCGCGAATAGATCAAGCAATAATGTCAATATATCAAGGAGGTTGCGTAGAACACCATCTGCCTGCGTATAGATCAAGCAAGGAGAGTTACAACAAACAAACATACATACAGGTGAAGTTATTAAAAGCGTATTGAAAAAATGTCGCGCTGACAACTTGCAGAATTGTATTTGACACACATGTTATGCAGAGGTGAACGTTTCAGAATATTTGTATGTGGTGTTGGCTAATCAGTAAACCGAGAATTCATATGAATAAACATATTTGATGAAATTAATATTCTTATTCTTCGAATTTATTTCTTGAACAGCCACGTACATAAGTGTACTATATATGTTCATATTCTGGAGTTTAGAAATTTTGTTATATCTTATTCTACTGGCATTCCTGAAAGAAGAAATGATAATCATTATTATTACTTACACTGCTTTCATCTATCGAAGGTGAATATTGGTTTTTCAAGCTGACGAAGCAGGTTAACGATTTCGGAATCAAAATGAATAGTTTGTATACGTTGTCAAATTTAATACCATTTGTATCTTCATAATCCTGCATGAGTTCTTTCAAATTCTTTTCTTCAGTACCCGTCTTTGGCAAGATCAGCTTCAAGTATCCGTAAAAGAACGAATAAGCCATTCCAGATCCATAATCCAGGCCATTATCCTCAGCCAACCACAAAGAATCATTTAGAGGGCAACTATTCTACAAAATAGAATATTCGAGTTCATAACAGCAATATTTTGAAATTATCAGTGTCAACTCTACTCGAGAGCTGGGCCATATATTTTGTTAGACAATATTCTGTTGTGGACATGAGGAAAAATCAAGTATAAGCTGAAATACGAAACTATTCTCATTGTCGTAAGTGAGAACTTATCAATTGAAACAGTATTGAGGTCAAACTCTATAGAAAATCTCAGATTCAAGTTGCTTCACGGATTTATAATAATAAAAACAATAATCGCCTTCATTTCTCCCATAAATTGTACACTTCATATCTGTGACCATAAGCTAATAAACAGGAGAATAGTGCAGACCTAATTATTTTTTTTTTAGAAATAAGACCTCAACTGAAATGTACTTCCACTCAACCCCAAAAATGCTGCCCTAACTTTATTAATCTTATTCTTCCATTAATGAATGTTTCAAGTTTATGAAGAAATAAGGCTTAATATTAAATACTGCTTATTTCAATTTGATAAGTACTGAATGATTTACCCTTTTTTTCATTCTTTTTCTTTCTGTCATTGATTAAAAAACCAGACACGACCTCATCAGAATCAGAGATAAAGCCATTCGTTTGTTTCACGTCGTTTTGTGTTTGGGAAATTTGGTTGTTTTTTTGAATACGAATCTAATTTGTCTGATGGTTTTTAAAACAGTAATATTATCAACACGAAGAAACTGCTTTTTGGTGAGTAGTTTAATTAAGAACTCATTATTTCTTGTGAAATTGAAACGATTAAAACTGATCCTGTACCCAACCAATCTTTCTTTGAAGAAATTAAGACTGACCAAGAATATAATCGTATTTCTTGTATTCTAATTTGAATTTTTTTAACGAAAGATTCAAGTTCCAGAGGTAAAGACTTTTAGATGGTGCATATTTGAATCGACAACTTTCGAAAAATTCGAAATTCGATTTTATGATGCAAATAGGAGGGTTTCTTTGTAGTTATAATTTTGTGAAACAAACAAGCAGCATGAAAAAGTCTTCTTTTCCCCATATTCAACCGCCCAGCAGTAGTTAGTTTATTTGAAATTCTTTCGTGTCTACGAACACCATATACGAGTCTCAGCCAAGAATTTTGAACTTTTTGTACTTTTAATACATAGTATAGCCGTAAAAGCAGTCGACAAAATTAAAAATAGGCAATACTAACGTCGTTAAAATATGGCAGGCTCCGTATATATTGTTTTCAGGGATAGATAAGAATTCTGAACAAGTTTATCAATGTCTTTCGAATCTTAAATTACAGTCTTTCACCACACCGAGGTTTTTTGTGTTTCTATAAGAGCTAATTCGTCACTATCAATAGTAATTTTTGGACCAAATATGTTGTATGAAGTTGTGAAGATCTTCATCGATGAAATTGCAGGTCGTTACCTGTAAATAAATCTGTGTATCGTCGAGATAGCAGTAAGTAGTTCAATGTTCAAGATATTTCAGAATTGTTGAGGTACGTAAAGGAAACAGGAGTGGTCCTAATATGGAGCCTTGTGGGACATCGGATCTAAGGTTTAGATTTGTTGAACTGACACACCTTTTGTTGCCGTCTGAGTGAATATGCCTCAATTAATTTAATTGCTGCTACTGATAAGCCTAAATAGTGCAGAATAGCAAAAATCAGTTGATTTTTGATAGTGTCAAATGCACGACTGAAGTCCAAGAATAACAACAGTGTACACATACCATGATCCTTTATGTTATCGACGATGTGAAGGTAATTATTGATATGAACTTTGCGTTGAACTTCAATTGCTTGTGTTTTGACAAAAGATTTATATATTTTGAGACATTTGTGAGCAGCCTAATAAAAATACACAGTCTTGACACCATCCAAATAGGCATTGCTTTGTTCTAAAGCACTACAAATATAGCATGATTCATTTTTTCACACGATTTATTTTTGGTTCCAAGAAAGAGCAGTTCAATTGCAGTCACTATTGTGTTTCTATAAGTGATGAGTCAAGTTTTCACAATTCAAAAAAGAGCAGTGAGATTCATTACCAGAGCTAGAGTCCAAGATTCCTGTAAGCCCCTGTTTTCAATTCATCACATCACATCTTAACAGTCTACTGCGTCTTCATTTTAGAAACAGTCTGCCTAATGCACAAAAATCACAAAGATAACATCTCGAACTCAACTCAAAGTTATGCCACTCGTCTTACATTCAATATTCCTCTTAAATTCAATTCTTTATAACAGCAAAGAATATTTTAATCATATCCCCCTTTCAATCAGAAATTTAACATGCTACAAACAGTTTCGAAAAAGAGTAAAAAAACTTCTGCTAGATAAAGCTTATTATAGTATTGAGGAATTTCTTTCAGATGAGTTTGCAACTTATAAAATTTGTTATCACAGACTTTTACTATAGATTTTTTGAAGTGTGCTTGAGCCATATTAATATCTTGTTTTAATTCTTGACCTTTATGTTAAATATTTCAGATTGTTTTAGTTCTTAAGCCTGCTTTGACAACAAAACCTAAACTTTTATGACAATAAAGCGTTTCTGACTGACTATTTACCATTTACAAGAAAACATTATTTTTAACTCTGAGCACCATAATTACAACACCCGATATTTTATTATATCAATTGTTACAAGAAAAGAATCACAAAATTTGGTTTTTTCAAAGCTCTGAACATCCCCTTCAAAAATACTCCACTGACAATTGAGAAGAACACTTTTGAAACCCGGTTTTCTCTCTACTCTCACAGGTTTACTAAGATTCACTTTAGGTTATCAAGTACCATGAATAAACTAACACCAACAAAAATCTTGGACAGTTCTCCGAAATAACGTCACCCATGTTCAACCAAGTAATGAAATTCTCAATGGCACTACAGACAGGACAGTCACAATATCGATTTTGGAATGTGTTCACAGGTCAATGTTCCCCTTATCTGCAACCACAGGGGAATCCCCGGGGATAAAAACAAATTGGTGATGTGAGAAAAACAGATGTACTACTTTCATTTCATTCATTACCATTACAGATGTGAGAGTTGTTGAAGAAAGTGAAACTATAAATAGAGGTGAACTTAAACAGAAACGAGGGTGAGTCCATGTTGAATAATGGATTTAGCATAAAACTTGATTATTTGATTAGAGATTTTATCATTTGATTCTATTATGATTTTAACAAAGCCTCCAACATTCATATGCTACTTATTAATGTACTTTTGTTTGTGCAACAGCAGTCTATTTTTAATAATGAATAGAACTGTTCTAGAAGTGTTGTGATGCATCATTTGAAAACATTGATCATTATCCGTTTTGATTATTTCAGGCAGTTCTCAAAATCTGACCCTTCCAGGAATTGAATGAGTTACAATGAATTACGTGGGCGACTCTTTTACCATCTGGTACATAGAATCCCACAAAGACACAATATTGTTTGAATACTTGTACAAGACTTGAATCAGTGTTGTTTGGAGGTCAGTATTTTGTGTCTCTGTTGAAATCGTGATTAGTAAATCAGAGTCCTACATTCAAAGTGTTCAAACTAACCATGACTAGTTAAAATGTGTACGTTGTGACAATAATAATGTACCATAAGCTATTTTCATTGAAAAAATTAGTTACTATGGTATCTGGGACACAGCTCTCATCTTGACAAATAGGTACCAATATGTTGAAGTTAACAACATTAACTCAGATCTCGAAGAAATGAAGCATGTCGTTCCTCGGGGGTCCGTTTTAGGCCCACTATTGTTCTTTACCTATGCAGTTTTATAAAACCAGTAAGATGTACTTTGTTTTCATACTGTACGGCTTCATTACGTTCTAGCAAAGACCTGACCAGTTTACAACTAATGATACATAAACAGATAATTGGTTTGCTGCTGATAAGCTGACTCTGAATGAAAATAAAACTCAAAATATAACTGTATCTTCTAATCCGAATATCAGAAGTAGAGAAGTATGAATTTTTTTAGAATTCGTTATTGATAATAGATTGAGTTGGTCTGATCATATCAAAGCTATGACTAGCAAACTTTCTACTGTTTTGTTTGTTTTGAGTGGTCAACTTGATGGCACTCAAAAGTACCTACTGTTGATTATTATACTCAGGTATGTCATATACGTGTTCAGGTATATAAGTAAATACAGGTATTCAGGTATACAGATACTTAGGTACACTGGTATGTATATATAAATCCTATATGGTCCTTAATTATTTCACATCGTATTTGTGAGAGAGGAGTTATTGTTACTGGCAAGTGAATAGTGGTTGCAGCTATATTAAAACTTCAATTAAGTTTTCATATTTCAAAAATAATTGACTGAAAGTAGAAATGAGTCGTCGAAGGGCCCATGATGATGATGATGGATATGATCGAGCATATAGAAAAAGGCGAAGGATATCAGAAAATCAAGAAATTGAAGATAGTCTGGAATTTCTTATACTAAGAGTTGGAGAAAAAAGTACGTCTTCCACAGAAAGTAACTTGGAACGAAAATGTTTTTATTTAATAGACGTCTATATGAAAGTTTGAATGTTGTTATTTTGGTATTCTGATTTGGGGTCATTCAGGTGTTGTAGGTGCCAGAAAAAGGCCTTGAGGATAATAGCCAAAGCAGGCTACAAAGAGCACTATAGTCCTTTCTTCATTTAACTTGGCATTATGCCACTTCCCACATTATACAGGGTTATTCAAATTCGTTTCTGTACATGAGGATCTCGTTAACAATTCGGTTAAATTGTGGCAAAGTTGCGTATTTTAGAGACCTATTCAATGATGTAAAAGAATCGAATATAGCTCTTTTGGTTCTGGAGATATACAGAAAAAACCAAAAAAACCCAAATTATTCTTTTGCCTATATCTTCTTTATTCACAGATATATTGAAAATCTGTTCACCTTTTGCTATTGACACTTGATGTAGGCTATCAGAATATGTCCATGAATTTTTTATACAGGTAGTCATGTGACTTGGGCTACCCCTATCTTTGAATTTTCAAATACGGACCTGTATTTTTTGTAATTAATGGCACACATGTTAGAATTTGGAGTCCTTCCATTTCGAGACATTTTCGAACTCGGTTTTTCAAATTATTTATTGCCCTCAACACTCTTATTTGCTGTATTGTTGCGAAATCATTCAAAATCCTCAATCTTGAGTCTTGCACATTTTCTATCTCTCTGGAACGTGTTCACAGGACAATGTTCCCCTTATCTGCAATCACGGGAATCCCCGGGGATAAAAACAAATTGGTGATGTGAGAAAAAAAGACGTACCTACTACTTTCATTTCATTCATTACAGATGTGAGAGTTGTTGAAGAGAGTGAAACTATAAATAGAGGTGAACTTAAACAAACACGAGGTTGAGTCAATGTTGAATAATGAATTTAGCATAAAACTTGATTATTTGATTAGAGATTTTATCTTTTGATTCTATTGTGATTTTAACAAAGCCTCCAACATTCATATGCTACTTATTAATGTACTTTTGTTTGTGCAACAGCAGTCCATTTTTAATAATGAATAGAACTGTTCTAGAAGTGTTGTGATGCATCATTTGAAAACATTGATCACTATCCATTTTGGTTATTTCAGGCAGTTCTCAAAATCTGACCCTTCCAGGAATTTAATGAGTTACAATAAATTACGTGGGCGATTCTTTTACCATCTGGTACATAGAATCCCACAAAGACACAATATTGTTTGAATACTTGTACAAGACTTGAATCAGTGTTGTTTGGAGGTCAGTATTTTGTGTCTCTGTTGAAATCGTGATTAGTAAATCAGAGTCCTACATTCAAAGTGTTCAAACTAACCATGACTAGTTAAAATGTGTACGTTGTGACAATAATAATGTACCATAAGCTATTTTCATTGAAAAAATTAGTTACTATGGTATCTGGGACACAGCTCTCATCTGACAAATAGGTGCCAATATGTTGAAGTGAACAACATTAACTCAGATCTCGAAGAAATGAAGCATGTCGTTCCTCGGGGGTCCGTTTTAGGCCCACTATTGTTCTTTACCTATGCAGTTTTATAAAACCAGTAAGATGTACTTTGTTTTCATACTGTACGGCTTCATTACGTTCTAGCAAAGACCTGACCAGTTTACAACTAATGATACATAAACAGATAATTGGTTTGCTGCTGATAAGCTGACTCTGAATGAAAATAAAACTCAAAATATAACTGTATCTTCTAATCCGAATATCAGAAGTAGAGAAGTATGAATTTTTTTAGAATTCGTTATTGATAATAGATTGAGTTGGTCTGATCATATCAAAGCTATGACTAGCAAACTTTCTACTGTTTTGTTTGTTTTGAGTGGTCAACTTGATGGCACTCAAAAGTACCTACTGTTGATTATTATACTCAGGTATGTCATATACGTGTTCAGGTATATAAGTAAATACAGGTATTCAGGTATACAGATACTTAGGTACACTGGTATGTATATATAAATACTATATGGTCCTTAATTATTTCACATCGTATTTGTGAGAGAGGAGTTATTGTTACTGGCAAGTGAATAGTGGTTGCAGCTATATTAAAACTTCAATTAAGTTTTCATATTTCAAAAATAATTGACTGAAAGTAGAAATGAATCGTCGAAGGGCCCATGATGATGATGATGGATATGATCGAGCATATAGAAAAAGGCGAAGGATATCAGAAAATCAAGAAATTGAAGATAGTCTGGAATTTCTTATACTAAGAGTTGGAGAAAAAAATACGTCTTCCACAGAAAGTAACTTGGAACGGCTAGCTAGTGTTCTTGAGGCTGACCTTTCCACATTCCGTGCAAAAATTTTAAGGATCATCACCGATTGTGCTATCAAAATGCCAGAAAAATGTACAATTTATACTACACTTGTTGGTTTGTTGAATGCAAAGAATTTCAACTTCGGAGGTGAATTTGTAGGATACATGGCCAAGACTTTCAAAGAAGCTCTGAAAAATTGTAAGTGGGATCCAGCTAGATATGCCCTAAGGTTTTTGGCAGATTTAGTGAACTGTCATGTTATATCGGCGATGTCTTTACTGCAGCTCCTGGATAATATGATAAATACAGCAAACGAAGACAATGTTCCTCAAGTAAGAAGAGATTGGTATGTCTTTGCGATTCTGAGCACCTTGCCGTGGGTAGGAAGAGAATTATATGAGAAGAAAAAAAAATCACTGGAACACCTTATGGTACGAATTGAAGTATTCCTCAATAAGCGAACAAAAAAACATCACGATGCCTTGAGGGTTTGGGCAGTTGACACTCCTCATCCGCAGGAAGAGTATCTTGATTCCCTTTGGGCTCAGGTACGAAAGTTGCGTCAGGACAACTGGGCTGAAAAGCATATACCCCGGCCCTACTTAGCTTTCGATTCTATTTTGTGTGAAGCTTTACAGCATAATCTGCCTTCCATTTCACCTCCACCTCACCGTGATAGCTACCAATATCCGATGCCATGGGTAGTGTTCAGACTTTTCGACTACACAGATTGTCCAGAGGGTCCCACACTGCCAGGAGCCCATTCAATTGAAAGATTTCTCATCGAAGAACACTTACATTCTATTATAGAACTTAATCATTTAGAGAGGAAGGACTGTGCAGCTCGTCTTTTGAATTTTCCTTACAAGTTGAAAATTCCATTGGAATACTGTATTGTGGAAGTGATTTTTGCAGAACTCTTACACATGCCAACACCGAGATACATTGAAATTTCGTATGGAGCAATTTTCATCGAGTTATGTAAACTACAGCCTTCGACAATGCCTCAGGTCTTAGCACAAGCGACTGAAATGCTGTTTATGAGAATCGATACAATGAACGTGTCTTGCTTTGATAGACTCGTCAATTGGTTTTCCTATCATTTAAGTAATTTCCAGTTCAGATGGTCATGGGAGGATTGGGATTCGTGTTTGCATCTGGATGAGGATCATCCACAACCAAAATTCATCAGAGAAGCAATGCTCAAATGTATGAGATTGTCATATTACCAGCGAGTAAGAGAAATTTTACCAGAAGGATTCTCAAAGTTCATACCTGAAAGAGCCGAGCCAGACTACAAGTACGCTCACGAAGGAGCTGCAAGTTTACCTGGTACTTCAGCCGCCCTTCAATTGGTCGTCTCCATTCGACAGAAGTGTACTCCCGAAGAAGTGCTCGCCGTTCTCGAAGACCTTCCCAACCCACGATCTGAGGAAGAGGGCGGCGGTCATTTTAATCCGCTGAAAATCGACGTCTTCGTTCAAACTCTACTGAACCTAGGATCAAAGAGTTTTTCACATAGTTTCGCGGCAATGTCAAAGTTTCACTACGTGTTTAGAATATTAGCAGAATCGGAGGAGGCCCAGAACTGTATTTTGAGGAATGTTTTCGAATTGTGGCACAACCACCAGCAGATGATAACCGTCTTAATTGATAAGATGTTGAAGACGCAAATAGTGGGGTGTTCAGCGGTGGCGAATTGGATCTTCTCCAAAGAGATGAGTGTTGAATTCGCCAAAATGTATGTGTGGGAAATTCTACATTTGACGATAAAGAAAATGAACACACATGTTATTAAATTAGGCGATGAGTTGGCTGAATCTAGGGAAAAATTAGCTAGGGCGGAATATAGCGATTGTGATGAATCAAAAAAGAAACGAGGCGATACAGGAAAACCTACCGAGGAAATGGTAGAGAGGATGGAAGAAAAGTTAGAAGCGGCTCAGGCTGATCAGAAAAAATTATTTCTCATAATATTTCAGAGATTTATTATGATTTTATCTGAACATTTGGTCCGTTGTGATACTGACGGGAAAGATTACAGCACACACTGGTACACCTGGACAATTGGTAGACTGCAACAAATGTTTTTAGCACACCATGAGCAAGTTCAAAAATACAGTTCAACGCTGGAGGCATTGCTGTTCACACAGGATCTGGATCACCGTATTTTCGAAGTATTCCAACAATTTGTATCTTTGAGAGCCTAATTATTTATTTTCTTACGCTAGGTAAATAGTGTAGCAGTGTTTTGTATGGAAATGTTTTTATTTAATAGACGTCTATATGAAAGTTTGAATGTTGTTATTTTGGTATTCTGATTTGGGGTCATTCAGGTAACGCCATCAGTGGTTGTAGGCGCCAGAAAAAGGCCTTGAGGATAATAGCCAAAGCAGGCTACAAAGAGCGCTGTAGTTGAATGGTACCTATCTGAACAAATAGGTACCATTCAAAATCCTCAATCTTGAGTCTTGCACATTTTCTATCTCTCTGCCAGCGTAAATCCTATTTTTCAATGTCCCCATAGAAAATAGTCCAAAATAGTAAGATCTGGTGATCTTGCAAGCCATTATATTGGCCCATAAAAGGGAATAATTCACACAATTATAATCAAATATTACCCAAACATCCCGAAATATAAAATTTAATTTAATTTCTCAGTACAGGTCCGTATTTGAAAATTCAAAGATGGGGGTGGCCCAAGTCAGATGACGCCCTGTATGAAAAATTCATGGACATATTCTGATAGCCCACATTAAGTGTCAATAGCAAAATGTGGACAGATTTTCAATTTGTCTGTGAATAAAGAAGATATAGGCAAAAGAATTATTTGGGATTTTTTTTGTTTTTCCTGTATATCTCCAGAACCAAAAGAGATATATTCAATTTTTTTACATCATTGAATAGGTCTCTAAAATACAGAACTTTGTCACAATTTAACCGACACTCTATCTCTTATCGTTTACGAGATCCCCATGTACAGAAACGAATTTGAACAGCCCTGTATATCTATAAAGTTTTAATAGAGATTCATGATAACGATGATGAGTTTCACAGATTTGCAGGTTTATTGAACCTACCCAGACATAAATTAACAATTAGAAGATAAATTCACTAAAATTACATTTGTATAATCTTCACTGGTCTCTGAAAGCACCAAGACATGCAAAATTTAAAACTACTGTTGAAAAGTTACTTCTTAAACACTGTTTTGTTACTATTGAGGAATATATTGACATGGTAGGGTCTTCAACTTGTACCAAGGCTTATTAAATCCTTTTTTATTGATTTTATTGGTGACTTGCCATAAATATACTATAACATGTACAATGGTCATATAAATAAAGGACTCTACTCTGCTCTACGAGATAATATTGAGAACTTTCTTGAAAACAACCACAAAATAATAGATTTTACAAAAATACATTGACTCTCACTTTTGAATATCACGATTCATTTTTGATCAAGATATAAAGTCCCCAAATTCTCCATTGAAAGATGATTGCTGTTGAATTTTTTTCAAACAGACCATAAAGTACCGGCTCTAACACTTGCACATTCATATTATTTAATGCACTGAATATATGAGGCAGTAAATTCACAAATCCTTTCAAAATGTGGTACCGATTGCTTCATTTCACAAAGTGGTTTCACCCGAGGAATTTAAAATTCATAAAACTGACAAACCACAAATAAAAAATTTTAGAATATAAACCTTGTCCTCTTACCAATTGCAGAATTATTCCCATAAAATAAATATTTGGTACCAAAAATGGGATAACTCTCAACAATCCACTGTTATAAACTGACCAATCATGTGTGTTAAGATACCACACACAGTAAACCATAGAAGTCACAAAAGCAACGGCTGCTTTTACATTAAAATGCAATGCATCCTTGACCATGCCGAATAGCCGTCCTTCGTAACGAGATGTCAAATGGTAGCACTCTTCACTCATCAGTATGATTCTATGAGTTAGTTCAAGGAACATTCGGAACAGGAGACCCGATGCATATAGACCTGAAAATAATGTGCTTTCCAAGACAGAAATTATTTTTATTTTCAAACTTACATAAAACTTCTGCTAACCCTCCTCCATTTATGAAGAAATCAACTGTAAAATAATAATGAATATATGTTCAATGAGTATAAATATATAATAGATCAGTTCAATGTAATGGATGGTTCTTGCACCAAACTTTTACTTCAAGTTGTACAAATAACATGTCATTACGTAGTGTCATTGATGACATGAGTAGATTCAACACATTCATGACACAAGGTCGTAATTTTTTTACTGAATTGAGTGCTTCATCTTGTATTGTTATCCAAATTGGTGCTGAAGAGGTAATAAGACACGTGTTAATTAATCCGAAACATCGATGTCTACCATTGAGGATGACAGTGTTCGATGGAAGTGATATTTTACCTCTTTCATGACTAAATTGTGTAGCAATCCTGTGAATGATATCTGATTCAATTCCATAACGAATGTTTGGTATACAAACTGAATAGGAAAGTGTTTTTTTGTGAAATTCAATGTTTATATGGAAGTAGTTGTTTAAAGAAGACTCTTTCTTCCAGTTTGTGTCTGAAAGTTGTTTATTTGCGTGATCTACACATCTTTGTGGTGGTATTCCACCCATAAATGGGTGCCTTCAATGTAAAAGTTTATTGTATTACGCTTCTATTAATTACTCTAAATGTAAATTGAAACACACTAAATAAAGCAAAGTTCAATTAGTTATGTTTACAACAAAATTGAACTGTAAATCATAAGATAAAGAAACAACACATTTTTATCAATTACAAAATAATCTCTCTTCAAGAATATTTATCCCTGTATGACTTGAATCAGGTGTCACCACCACCAGGAAGAAAATGTGTGTAATAATACAAGAAAAGCAACTGATACTGTTTTTCAAAAAAAATAAATCCATTCATAATGAGATATGAAAAATTAGCTGAAAAATAAAAATCCCTTGAAGGTGACTAACTGAAAATAATACGCCTAAAATGTTGTTTTCTGAAGAATCAAATTCACTTTTTTTATTCTGTAATACTCTATAGAGCAGAATAAAATTATTCTTTGTGTGTATATCTCATTTTCGACTGACTGAGAACCACTAAAAACTTACAACTCGTAAACACAGACATTATGAGTAATATCTAGCTCCTACATGAATGTTGCAACTGAAAAATGAATTATGGAAATGCTAACTGCAACTTGTTGCAACTCAAGATTGGTACATTAATCCATCCTTACTTCTTTCGATACGAAAACTTTTTACAATTCATTAGATAGTTCATAGAAAAAATTATTCTCTGCAAGATTGTAAATTCTTTTAAATTCACAATTTGCAGACCAAACTTGCATCGTCAGCATAAAAAACAAATTTCAAATAAATGGTCTAATTCATATACAATACTTACGAATTAAAAGTAAAATAATAAGAAAAATAATTAGTTCCGTGGCCAACGGACCCCTTTTTTGTGGAATCGTTTTTGGAAAATAATATTTGTTATCTCGCTGAGTCACACATAACTGAAAGGAAATATAAAGCTTTGTATCATGTGTCTCTCGCCTTTATAAATGAGTACTCACCGACTTAAAGTGAACCATTTTCTGTGAATTATTTGAAATTGATTAATGTGTACAAAGATAATTTCAACTCAAATATTTCAACAGAGAAAACGAGAATTTTCTTGATAAACAATAACTCAGTTATCTAAAGTTCGTTTATTCGAAATGCAATATCGATTAGTGATATGCCTTACTAATAATGAACTGAAATTGATAAGGAAGGCTGATTGATTTTTATAAATCAGAAAGATGAAAACGCTCAACACTCAGCAAAACTTCCTCAACTTGACCTTGACATAGAAAACTGATAACCAAAACATAAGCTAGAGTGGATGAATGAAGAACAAAACAAAGCGATAAGCCGGTAAGTACTTCCTATCTCTTTTCTCGGCTCTCACCAGTTTGTACCCACCACGAAATGCACAGGACAGAACCCTTTTCGGAAAAGAAATAGTTTAGCTTCATTTACGAGGGTTTAACTTTTTATAACAAGGATAAAACAGTTTAGGATAATAGTCCTTACAGAATCAAGAATTACGAAAGATGAGAGTTTCACTAAATTAGACGTTAGTTTTGACAATTTTAGGAATTTTGCTGGTGGGATGGTGGATATGTGATTTTATCTCTCTTTATTTTGTATGGACGTGACGCATTAGGCCAATATGTATTTTTAAAACTACATTATTCGGAGGTATGAATAATACATAAAAAATTCTGGGTTATGAGTATCTTTTTCATGAGCACAGAACACAGTACAAAATGTTCTGTGTTCATCAGTATATGGACTGTTACCTAACTTTCATTGTCAAATGTTTATAACTTCATCACCCTAGATCTAGATCCTAGATCACTGAAACTATTGGCAACTACATCACAGGTATGATGTACTTGGATCACTTTCTTTGGAACACTCTATAGTCCTCACTTCTTTCGGAAATTGTATTGAGTAAGAATGACATTCATCTGATATTACATTAGAAATCCTTTTTATACATATGATGATGTACATTATACATCATGTTTTAACATATGAATAGTAATATATAACATATAATAGAAGACTTGCTGTGTACACAGTGTTAAAGGATGAAATGAGAGGGTGGTTTACGCAAAAAATTGGGATTATTCTAACATACAAGTTTTTACCATAACACAAAGCAAAAAAAATAGGTATCCCCACAGATTGAAAAAAAGTTATTCCCGAAGTCACGAAAAAACGAATAAAACGATGATATAAACTTTTCTGTACACAAATAAGAACAAAATAAGAAATGACCTTATTGATTGATGCGACCCCATGGTTGCCAACTGACATTTGCTAAAAAACAAATAACCTATCTTTCTGACTTCCTTCTGCAATTTTGTTCTTGTATTTTGTCTTTGTAGCTTTGTAGATGTGCTTATTTTTGCTGTTTCCCTGTTTTCGTTTATTTACTCGTTTGTTTCTCCAAATCAATTATTCTTCAAAATGCAAAAAAATGAAATCAAATGTGTTTGTTTATTATTAAATGATTTCCTGCATCTTTCTGTGAAGGAAAATGGAGAAGGAACTCAGAAAGATAGGTTATTTATTCATTAGCAAATGTCATTATTTTACCGCAGTTGGCAACCATGGGGTCGCATCACTTAATAAGGTCAATTGAACTAATCAGATGTTGCAAACAATACGATAGGGTCCGATACGTAAGGTTCGTTCCAACCTTGAGTCACAAACAGATTTCCAACTGTTTGTAAATCGTTGTCAACGCGCATGTCTGGTAAAAATTGGTTTCTGATTAGTTTGAAATTTCTGATTGGAACAGCTGATAGTTCAATTGAAGTTTGGCATGGAATTTCAACATAACCTTTAAAAATAATTTGGGAAAGAAAGTTTTTGGCTTTCTACTACTCCATCTTGATACGAAAAAAGGATGAGGGAATCTTCCAAAGAAAGGAAGGAAATAATCAATTTGAAAATAAGTAACTCTATACATGGTTGTGTAGATCATGCAAAGAAGTAACTTTCAGACAAACTGAAAGAATGTCCTCCTGAAACAGCTACTTTCATATAAACATTGAATTACACGAAAGAAAATAAAATTATTTCGAAACAAATACTTCTATATGAACACTGAAGTATACAGAAGATACTTTACTCTACTCAGTTTGTATTTCAAACATTCCACAAAGAATGTCACTCCTAAAAATATAACCCCTTCAAGTCTTCAAAAATATCTGGAGAGTAAAAGAAGGTTGCAGTATTTTATATCTCTATTCTATTTACTAATCAACATGGAACAGGGAGGTCACCGCAATAATTAATTTGTATAATTAAAGATGTTCATATTTCAGGTTCACTTAAAGAATTCCTAATTTTTCCTGCGCCAGCAAATACATAATTTATTTTAAAACAATTTTTGCAGGTTATGTTAACTGTAAGTTGCATGAACATAAAACAGTAATACAGAATACGCATGCGTCAGATTGATGGTCAGAAGATAATCCTCAAACCATTCTGATAGATTTCGAACAGGTTTGAATCTTGGATGGAACAGAAAACTGATAGTTTACTAATGGTTGGAAACTCACGTTGGAACGCAATCACATTACTGCGCAGAATCCTGACTGTCAGAAACTGTTTCTGACGCTGGTTGGAACGAACCTGTATGCACAGAAAGATCTACAACAGTGATAAAGGTGTGTAAGTGAATGACTCATTTATTTTTGTCTTCTTGAACAAGAAAATATTTTTTTATGAAAATATGCAACACGTAAAACATCGGACATCAAGAATAGGTGTGTTCGGTTATTTTAAACATGATGACAAATTATACTACAAATGTCTACTTGTAACTTTAGATAGATATATAGAATTGAGCATTCGTTAAATATATTCAACATCGTTGTCTCTGTGATAACGTGGTATCAAATCTACATCTGTTCACTCGGTTCAAGATTAAAAAAACCGAAAATCGTCTCTAGTGACGTAGATACCAATATCTATTGACTCCGTCTTTTTTTTTTTTTCAGTTGTCGAAGTTCAAGTCTTCCAGTTCACCCACAAAGAAGGCACGTGGATGCCATGTGCTATCGCGGAGCTTTTTTTCGTGTTGTGATCGTCCATCGAGGAAAGAAACCAATAAGCAAAACGTTTTAACAAATGTGAAGTGAGGGCTCTTCATTTACGTTGGTATCCAGGCCGGGGTAGTTCGGATAGCTACGTGAAGGAGGCCATATATGTGAAAAAACCGAAAAGTCTCCTGGAGAGGTGGCGAACTTTAAAATAATGAAGTTTTTTATGTACAAAAAATGTGAGAAAAAAGGGGTGGCAGCACTGCTTCGAGTAAGACTGCTGTCACACTATTCTGTGCTGCTGCTGCGCTCCTCCACGAAAGCTCCTGTCAACTGGTGACAGTGTTGACAGGATGAACTTGATCAAATGTGCCCGAGAGGGAAGCAACGGAAATACAAAGAGAGAGAAACTTGTTCAAAGTAAACAAATACAGACGTGATTTACTGAACCTGAAATTTAAAGTCAATATTAGAAAAGTGTTTGATAATATGAACGATGTTGAAGCAAGGAGGGAGGCCCGAAGAAGAAAAATTCTTGAAAATGCCGAAAAACGTTTAATGAAAATAACTGGAGTTGAGAAAAAGAGAACAGTATCGGAAGTGGATGGTGAATGTTCCCCTGTTTATATGTAAAAATATTTAAAAACATGTTTGTTTCAGGTATCATTACTACCTCTTTGGCAGACCAAAATGAGCCAAATCATTCCAGAAATGATAATTTCAGTAAATCATCTCTACATTCCAGTGATGGAAATTTTAGTAATGCAGCCAACAATGAGAATTTTGTAACAGCTTTCACAAATACAACAAAGAGTCAAAATGTTTCAAGTCCAGAAAATCTTCATCTAAACAAAAATCGTCATACTAATTTATTGTTCTTGTCTATTTTGTGGAGCTTTCTGTTGGTCTTTTGTGAAAATATTGGGGTAGATATAGAGGCCTGGTACATCAATAAAATTTTTGTACCTCTTATAGCATTTGAAATAGTAGATTTTTATTTTTATGCTTCAGCTGATAGTGCGCCTAGTTTTCTTTCCTCAGTTGCTTTGTTAATAGGACTTAGGCGTACGACTTATTCAGTTCATATACAAGTATTCATACAGAATGTTTTGAAAATTGTGCAAGATGTTATGGTGTATTTTTTTGTATTTATTGTGTGCTATACTTTGATGAAAATTTGTTTATTGAGGACATAGATTTATATACAAAAGGAATTATTTGTTGGAAAAATAAATGAAATATGATCAGTGTGTTTGCCTCATCGATTTAACAGACATTTAATTTTTGTCAAAAATATGATGGAACTGACCGTTACTTGATGGAAATCCATTATAACATATTTAAAAAAACACACTTCAATGTGATATTCCCACTTGACAGTTAACATAAATCATGATCATAGTTTTCAGATAAAAATTAGGACCAAGTAACAATTATGAATGGTGCGAAGTTAATAGTGAATAACCAAGGTCTTCAATTGTGTAGACCAAATGCTATTTCTAGAAGTTATTTAGAGGATCTGCATTACTTTGGTTTGAGACGTACCTTTCTCATCGACGGTAGAATGTTCTATTAGATGAAATTTCATCAGGAGAATGTTTCATTGGCGTCCCACAAGGTTCCGTTTTGGGACCTGTGTTGTTTCTCATTTATATCAATGACTTAGTCCATGTTGACACAAGTGGTAAATTCACATGTTTCACTGACGACACCATTATCTTCTGGCATAGCAATACCGCCTCAAATTTACTTGATCAAATCATCGTCAACATAAGAAGAGTGAGAGTGGTGTGATTCCAATCTTAAAATTAGGACCAAGTAACAATTATGAATGGTGCAAAGTTAATAACTAAGGCCTTCAATTGTGTAGACCAAATGCTATTTCTAGAAGTTATTTAGAGGATCTGCATTACTTTGGTTTGAGACGTACCTTTCTCATCGGCGGCAGAATGTTCTATTAGATGGAATTTCATCAGGAGAACGTTTCATTAGCAGTGGCGTCCCACAAGGTTCCGTTTTGGGACCTGTGTTGTTTCTCATTTATATCAATGACTTAGTCCATGTTGACACATGTGGTAAATTCACATGTTTCAATGACGACACCATTATCTTCTGGCATAGCAATACCGCCTCAAATTTACTTGATCAAATCATCGTCAACATAAGAAGGATGAGAGTGGTGTGATTCCAATCTTTTATCATTCAACATCAACAAAACAAGATGTAACATAGGGGAAGTACACTTGAATAATGTAAAAATTGAAAATTTGGAGAAAAACAAATTTTTTGGGCTCTTCATTGATGAAAATCTAAAATTTGATTCCCATGTCGACTTATGTAAAAGACGCAGCAGGATGTCATGCAGTGAGAGTTGTTGCAAGAGAGTTAGATACTACTATCACAAGATCAGTTTATTTTGCACAAATTGAGTCCTATTTACGTTATGGAATTTGTTTCTGGGGAAATTGTGCACAATTTCGTTTCAATATGGTATTCTCTCTACAAAAAAGATCCATCAGATGTTCATGCCGCCCATTATTTGTGAAGCAAAAAATTCTGACCTTAGTATGTCTTTTTATTTTGGAAATAGTGTATCTTATCCACAAAAAATATAAAAATCAATTTAATACCATCTCAACTTATAGTACACGTCAGTCTTACTGCATGTCCCTTCCAACACCTACTCTAGCCCTCACAAAATTCTATTATTTTCAATAGCAAGAAGTTTTTTAATCACCTAGAAAAGAATTCCTTGTTGGGAGGCCCTATTATAGTGTGTACGAATTCTACCAAGGCTCTATTGAGTAATTGGCATGTAGCTTTGGGTAAACGAGTTATTGAAATCAACACGAAATGGCTATCAATCTTCATTACGTAGCATTATATATTTACATTTACTCAATATTCATGTACTTATATTTGTATCTGTTCAGCTGGACTTAATATTGTTCTGTCCATATACTCTGCTCTTGTCTCTGAGGATTATTTTATAGTTTATATCTGTTAATTGTCTCATATACACGTTTCACTTTACTAGGTTCCACTGATTTTTAGTATGATGAATAAAAAAATAGTTGTTTTTTCTACAGCGCACGGTTCACTCTTACATCCCAGTTTTTAATACCTAATACCACTTACCCCCCTCAATATATTTCCAAGTTTAGTTGGACATAGAAATCAGCATGTTAATTTTTTGCAAATTTGAACTTAATAAAAAAGAATTGTAATCAGTTAACTGGTTTTGTGATACACATTTTTTAAGAACTTCCTTAATCCAAAATACAAGAGTGAACACCAAATACTATATTATGTAGTTTGGAATTTCACTTGGCAACGAACATATTAAAGTGATCTCTTCAAATGAGAATAAAGTTGAAAAGTTTTTTTTTTTCTGAACTAAAACACTGCAAGACCTAAATGCCATGTTGGTCAAACAGGACGATATCTTAGTACACGAGTTTCAGAACACATGAGACTCTTAAGAAACTGAACATCAGAAACCCCACATTGTTTTGAGAAACAATTTCTAAATATTTATTTCTTAAACTTTTATTTAACGAATGACAACTACAAACATACCTTAACATATATTTCAAAAAATGTTCTTAGTTCAATTAGTTCAATCAGACAAATAAAACCTATAATTTTGTGAATTGAGTAAGTTGCTCGTAGATATTTGAAATTTACAACAGTAACTATTGAATTTGATTAAAAAAATATTTAAAATGATACAAAGTCAAGAGAGAAAAATCAGCTTCAAGAAATTACACAATCAGATTGTACCGACAGATAAAATACCCTTCAGACTAGAGGGGGTAATAAAAGAATCCTAGGTATTTTCTATAACACTAATCGTCAGCTAAAGCACTATTCATTGCATCTTTTAAAGATTTCTCAAACAACTTTTGTGCATCTGAAAATCCTTGTTTAGTCTTTCCAAAAGAATTGGGCCCTGAAGATGTCGGCGTATCTCTGAAAATGTTTTTATATTAGTGGTTGTATACAACGAAAAAGGAATTACCTGATATATTTTCATATTATGCTCAAGATTGGTGAAGAGAACAAAAAAATTAAATACTGTATGTATCATGTGAAAAGTCAACTATAGAATTGTTAAAAAAATATCGTTTTTTTTGACTACCTCTTCAAATAATAAGAGACTGTTTTCTTTTAATTTGAATGGGACAAAAGATCTGTGGATGATCAGCATATTTTCTCGAAACTTCTAATAATATTTGTTAATTTCAATATCCTTGTTGGGAAGTTTCCTATTGTCTCTATATTACTGGAGAAATAGAGAGCTGAAAATGGGTTCTTTATAAACATAGGAATTGTACAATTGAAACTTAAGACCTTGTTAATTCTTAGCTTTCACAAGTTTTAACTTTCGAGGGTTGTCTTTTGTGAGGGTGTGACGGCTGGTCATTGGTTAAACTGATTTGAACATGCTAGAAACTACTGAAAGAATTAGGTATTGAAAGGTCAATATATCTGAGAATTTATATGACTATGACAAATAAAGAAGTTCATAATTTAAAATTAAACTTCTGAATTACCAGATTCCAACATTTAAAGATAACTACAAAATGAAGAACAACTTCAAAACTAGCCAGATAAAAAATATCACCTTCCGATATTCCTCATTCTCATTCTAGCTTGAGGAGGCATCTCTTCCGGCTCACTATCACTATCTTGATTAAATGCTGCCGCAACGCTGAGTTTTGGTTTTGATGTTACTTCTTTCTTTACTGAGCCAAGTTTCATTTGGATGCTCATACTTTTCAGCCTATTCTTGGCCCCAAGACCAATGTTTTCAACTTTTTTTTCCTTTTCTCCATCTTCACCCAAATTTTCCCTTTTTATTTCAAATTTTTCTTCTCTTCTTCGTGGGGATCGCGACCTTGATCTTTCTTTCTTTGTTTTGTGTGGACCTACCAAACACTGACATATTTAAAGTATTTTAATAGAAGTGCTATTAGATATAAAATAATGTTGGGGTAGAAAATCATGTCCAAAACTTTAATCCTATAGATATATTACCATTAGCCATATTGTTGTCGGTATACCTAGCACTCATATTTTCATGAAATTTTTTTCGAAATCAAAGGATATCCATATATTTATGAACCTTTAATTTAGGTAAAAATGTGTGAGAATTGAGAATAGTGACATTGAGATTAGCATGTCAAATGTCATAGTGATAGTGTCACATGTCATAGAGTACACCAACTGGTTAGTTAGTGTACCCCACCGATATTATGTCGATGGTGTACCCTTTGCTATCACAGAACACAGAAATGACACCATACCCTATCAAGGTCATGTTATCATGAAGCAGTCTCTATTGGCGTTTGGCGTTGTTCAGAATTTTGTTCAACAGAAATAGTTTATTCTAGACTTTTCTTTTTCTATTTTTTGTCTCATTTCATCAATTAAATAATTGGGAACATAGATTAACAATGTAATAGCGATGAGTGGCGCATGTTAGGGATGTTTCATTACATGGCTAACGGAGTGCGAATAACCATTATTCTTCCTAGGTGGCTTGAGAAGTTATTGACATAGAGTAGTCAGAACACAAGGCTAAAGACCAAAGCAGTCGATGTTGTTGACACCCAAATGTAACAAATAACCTCAATTCGGTCACTGCAAGATATCACTATGAAAAAAATGTTTGTTGAAAACCAGATGCTGTATAATAACATCAATACAAATGAAATTAATATTCTGTAGTGATCAAATTTGACACCGAAGTTAATAATGTAAACATTGTCACAGATTACAAACGTTCATGTAATCTGTGATACCTTAACCCACAAATACACAACAGCAGTTTACAAAATAATTCTGACACTTTTTAATGCTAGACTTCATTTTTCTGTCAATAAATCCCTAGTAATTATTAAAAGAAGCATAATGTTACACGGTGTCTTTTCATGAGCAGTGCAATTCTTACTACTCCTGCAGTAAAACGCAGTTCTGTTGCTCCACCGATCATTTATAAAAACTAAAGTTGTCATTCCAGATAGAATAGAGCGTTCGTTAATGTATTTCGCTACATTGACTGTGATAACGGGTATCAAAACTGCATTTGGTTGCACGACTCCAGATTTTTAAAAACGAATTAGTGGTTCTGTGTTCTTTGATACTCAACCACACTTTGTATTTGTCATTCTATTCAAAACATAGATCACAACAACGTAACGTAATTCAAAACATACGTTCCAGATTCTGTCAAAAGAACGGTGAAACAGTGACAAGTACGATAGGTCGTATATCTTCATGATACTTACTTGGATCTGTTAATTTTATCCTTTTTTACATATTGTAATATGAGCATATTTAAGTGTTCCTTTAGTGCTCGTATTGTAAATTTTTTTGTGGTTAAGATATTAACATTAGTTTGGATTGTTTCCCATCTTACAGCATCCTCATAGGGATTCTGACTTAATACTTCTCTAGCTAATATAATATCATTTTCATATGTAAATCTTAACCGACTTTTGTTTTGTGTCATCTTATTACACTCACTATAAAATATCCGGAATACCAGAGTGAAGCCATAGTATACAGTTCATTTTTGAAATTTTCTTCTTCTTTCCGATTCGGTACAAATGACATGCGGACATATCCGAAGAGTCACGATCATAATACGGTAACCTTACGGTATTCTTTCAAAATACCGTAATACGGTATTTGCCTTTAACGCTATTTCCAAAATACAGCAATCTGCGCAAGCGTAGATGTCAATATAACGTTACCGTATTTTTCAGAGGAGTGGCGATAACTCTCTATAGATCACAACAACGTAACGTAATTCAAAACATACGTTCCAGATTCTGTCAAAAGAACGGTGAAACAGTGACAAGTACGATAGGTCGTATATCTATGATCATGTAATAGATAAAATCCCGGGGTTGACTTGAATCTTGATATTGATTCCTAATGTTTTGATATTTCAATGATGTCTCTATGGATGTCTGTTCACATAATAACACTTGGGATAATACCAAGGAATTAAGTTGTTTACTAGGTTGCCAAGCATTTCATTAAACATGACTTTACTGTTAGTAAGAGTAATGAAATTATTCCTTTATATCAACCCTAATATTTTATTTTCCTTCAGAAATTAATAAACTTTGGAGAGAGAATCAAGCATGACAGTGAAATAATAATGGTGATATAGTTTTGGTACCCAAGTTATTGCAGCATGGATGAGCTCAAACTCCAACTACTAAAATGGACGATGGAGAGCAGAATGAAAGGGGGCCAGGACTGGAGACTGTAAGAGCTCTTCATCAAACGGTAGTTGCCCTAAGGGCAGCTCTGGAAGAAAGTAGGAGCGTCATTTCAGATCTGAAAAGCAAAGCGTGGCCTATCGAGTCGGTACAGGAGGCTATACAGGCCTTGTCTTTAGAGAATCATATTTTGAGGCGAAAATTGTTACTTCACGGTGATTTGGAAAAGACTGAGAATTGTAGCAAAACTGACTGTACTGGATATAAAGCAATCAACTGCAGTGATACTGAGCCGGTAAAGGGTAGGGTATTTGTACTAATAGCTTGCAGGAATCTGAAAGAACTCTTTCAAAGTTTCATTTATTCTTCAACGAATCATTTAAAATAAGTTTGGAAGGTATGCCATAATTTGATACATACGAGAAAAATTAATTCAGGTGTCTGTTGAAAAATAAATAGGGAAAATTTCAATACACTTTCTTTTACTTCTCGACTTCAAGATCACTGTTTATTCAGGCACATTTTTTTCAAACCTATGTCTGAAGTATAATAAAGAAAGGTGTCTTATTTTTTTTTCAATATTATTAAGGTTGGCAGCCTGATAAAAGAAGGATCGCTCAAACTGTTTAGTTTTATGCTGTGGGGTAGTTTTTCATTCCAAATTCTGATACCTGTATCATGTGCATTGCCTCTGTAGGTATGTTAACTTCAGTAGATATTAAGGTTTTTGATTTATTCTGAGGTTATTCACGATGATAGGCAGATGCAATTATCTTCTGTTGAACATTTTAAGGGCCATAGAAGATATCACAGTAGTTGAATATTGATAAAATTAAAGTATTGCATAAAAGTTTTTTACTAATCCAAAGTAACTTGCCAAAGTAAAACCATTATTTAAAGCAGGTAGAAAAGACCAAATTAATTATAGACCAATTTCAGTTTCACCAGTTTATCTGAAGTTGTTGAGATTTTTTGAATATCGAAACGACAAAATTATTTTATGATGGGCAATACAGATTTTTTTTAAAATAGTGACACAGAGTCCACAGTATTAGATGCCACCCAATTTCAACTAGATTTAGATCCAAACAAATAATGTGAAGTTCTTTCATTACACTTAAACAAAGCATTTGATAATGTGGGTCATGAAATTCTTCTGAAAATGATGCATAATATAAGTATCCGAGGTTTAGTTTATAATTGTTTTAAAATTATTTATTGAATAGGTAGCAATATGTCTATATGGGCGACATAGTTCCAAAAAAATATAATATATGGGGTACTACATGGATCAATACTTGGACCTGTTTTGTTACTTATATATTTCCATTCTTTGGCTACAGAAATCGGTTTGGTAAATTACAAATGTTTGTGGCATCATACATTATGGAAAAAAATAGTAAGAAGTATTCTGTCCTCCACAAAAAAATGTATTTCAAAGAATAACTGAATATTAATTTCGTTTAAGAGGCCCCCGTGGTAGTATGTGAAGAAAGAACCCCCAGGGATGGAATTTGCAATGTCGATAAACCAAATATTTCGAACACTGATAGTCCAAGGCTAAAAACAAAAAAGGTAACTATACTATCTCCAAAGCAGAGTCCTAAGAGATGCCGTCACAACTTAGAAGCTAGAATTTCAGTCAAAACTGAAGCGACTGGGCCTAGAAGGAATTCTAGATCATTAGAAAGTTTGACTGTGATAAAGTCTCTGAAAGAAGCATCGGAGAGATTTCAGTTCTCCAAGACATTCAGCTTTTCTGATTTGTCCAGCCACATCAGTCGAGAAATCAGTTTAGGAGTGTGCGAAGCAGCCAACATGAGTAAAAGAGATCAAAACACAAAACCGCCAACAGAAAATAACATAGTTGAGGAGGAACCAAACAGTCCCCATAACGATTTGGATCAGACTGAAGAGGTGGACGATATCGAGTTGATATTCACGACTGATGATACTAAGGATTCAGATTTCAAAGGGCAGCTTGTGTCTATCGACAACGGGGACTTGGCACAGCAAGCTTCTAATTTACTACAATTACATGCCAGCGAAATTGATCAAAATCTTGATGTTTCTGACAGAGAACTAGATGACGACGTATTCAATGATAATTTCGACAGTGAGAATCAAGAGAACAGCAATTTTCAGTCTTTCGATTACAAAAGAGAGAATTCACAAATCTGTGATTCGAAATCTGACACTTCTATAAATCAGGAAAAGAGTTTGAAAAGTTACTATTCCTTTCAAGATTCGAGTTTTGAAAACAGGTCGCTGGAGAAAGATGAGAGTTTCGATAGATTTGAAGAAAGAATAAGGATAGAAGAAACCGACATTTCTAAGTGTGGTATTCATGACGTTGAATATGCAGCAGGAAGAAGAAATACGTGTCCTAATCCTATCCAATACAGACCACTTCTGCACAGGTAATATGACTAAGTAGATTCATTAAATTAACTTTGTTACTAAAAATACAACAATTGTTGAAAGCTATTTGGTTAGATTGAATAATGGAACTTAACATCAAGTTAATTGTACTAAATTCTTAGGTGTTGATATTGATAATAAACGTACCTGGAAGTTCCATGTTGATAGTGTCAAAGTGAAGCTCAGTAAACATATATTTACTTCGTCGGTTAAAACAAACAGTCTCTCTTGATGTTCTCAAGCTTTTATACCACAGTTTAATTCAGTCAGTAATTTCCTATGGTCTTGAACAGTGGGGCTTATCAGCTAAAGTGGATGAAGTTTTTGTTATTCAGAAAAAGGTAATCAGAATTCTGGCCGGTGCATCTCTAAGTGAACACTGCAGGCCATTATTCATTCGTTATAGTTTATTAACAATGCCTAGTTTATATATCTACCAAGCTCTGATATATATAAAAAAACAATATTTCAATTATTCCTGGAAATGAGCAAATCCATGATCATTTCACCAGAAATAACTCAACTACATCAACCCTATAGTAGATTGACAGTATCAAAGAAATCACCCCATGTGCTGTGTGGTTAAGCTATATAAAAAGCTTAGTGATGACATTGAATACTCAAATATCAATGTCTTTAAAAGGCGACTCAAGATTTTTCTATTGCAAAAAGCATACTACTCTGTGGATGAGTTTCTCCTCGAATCCTAATTTGACTGTAGCTTATTAATATTACTGGAGTTTTTTCCCAACACCAAATCGTTATTTTTCAACACTTCGACATGTGTTTCGATCACCAAGTGATCATCTTCAAAGAGGAAGATTAAACTGTTTAAACTGATTAAACAGTTTAATCTTCCTCAGTTTAAACAGTTTAATCTTCCTCTGTTTAAACAGTTTAATCTTCCTCAGTTTAAACGGTTTAATCCGTTTAAACAGTTTAATCTTCCTCTTTGAAGATGATCACTTGGTGATCGAAACACGTGTCGAAGTGTTGGAAAATAACGATTTGGTGTTGGGAAAAAACATCAGTATTATTCATTACTACAACAAAGGTTCCAAACAGTGCATCATAAATGTGGCTTATTACTTTTTTATGTATGTTTTATGTTTTATATTGACTTTTTTTTGTTTGTTTGACCTGTTCAATCAGCCAGTATTTTATAATGATGTTTTTTTGTCTAATGTGATTGTGAAGGAAAACTGATTCAATAAATGTTTGGTTGATTGATCGGTGACGCATTATGTTAGTTAGTGTAGATGTTTCAGCTATTTGGAGATTATTCAATCAATATAATATTGGTTAAGAACATAATTGGCCACAGATGTATGAATAACAAGGTTATCACAGTCAATTTACTTAAAGTAATATTATTATATTAGATACAGAACACGAACATAAACATCTGTATGTATTTTTTTATGTATGTTTTATGTTTTATATTGACTTTTTTTTGTTTGTTTGACCTGTTGAATCAGCCAGTATTTTATAATGATGTTTTTTTTTGTCTAATGTGATTGTGAAGGAAAACTGATTCAATAAATGTTTGCTTGATTGATCGGTGACGCATTATGTTAGTTAGTGTAGATGTTTCAGCTGTTTGGAGATTATTCAATCAATATAATATTGGTTAAGAACATAAATGGCCACAGATGTATGAATAACAAGGTTATCACACTCAATTTACTTAAAGTAATATTATTATATTAGATACAGAACACGAACATAAACATCTGTATGTAGGGTTCAAAAGAGACTAAACTACATCACAACGCAGAATGATTCGACATGAAATATTCAACGCGAACAACATCAGTTCAAATTATCATTGAAGAATTCTTCCAGCGAATAATAAGCTTTGGAGAAAAGCAAAGTTTTCAATTTATTCCTCATGATCATAGAAGACAAAGTTCTGAGACATTCAGGTATCTTGTTATAAATATTAATGATTGTGAAAGGGTATTTTTTTGAAGATAGGTCAAATGTGTCTTTATATTCATGTGTTGTGGGTATGGTTCCAATCATGAGTCGCAAAAAGAGATATATTTTCTTTGACCTGTTACTCTACGAATATTTTTTTACAGCTTTCTCTCTGAGAAAGGTTAAATATTTTTCTGAGACACCGTTTTTGCAATATGAATATTTTTTGTGTGTGGGTAGCTGGTTCTAAAGTAGTTACACCATCATTAAAAGTATTATTTGTGCCGTTTTGGGTAAAAGATATGATTTGTGTCTTGTTTTTGTTCAGTTTGAGATTGTGTGATGTAAAGTACTCCTTCAGAATCTTTAGCTTTTAAAAGATATTTGCCTGTAGATAGTTGTGATCGGTTGAACTGAAAACCACAGAACAGTCATCGGCATACTGAACCGTGTATTCATCAACAGCTTCAGGCATATTGTTGATGTAAAGAGAGTACAGTAGTGGGCCCAACACTGACCCCCGGGGTACACCTCTTACGATAAATAGCATTTCTGATTTCATTATATTTCCATCAGTATCCCTTTCAGTGACACATTGCTGTCTATTTTTCAAATAGGACGTTATTAGTACGAGTGGCAGCCCTCTGAGATATTACATTTCAAAGTAAAGAAAACCTTTGAAACAACCTAATAGTACTAGTACATTGTCGGTGATAGTTTCAACAGTTAGTACATGAGCTAACTCATAATGTTACACTTCAATTTTTTTAGGGAAGCTCTCTCGAAAGGACTCACAGTAGGCAGAAAAACTAGACCAATTTTAACACATTCCAATGCAGTGAGGAAAGAATCCGGAGCCCAAACCGATATATCTGCTCTTCCAAACTCATCTTGGAGATCTGAGAGTAGTTTAGCTAATAAAGTGAGTTGTCGGCACAAAATTTTGACTGCTAGTTTGAAAATTCGCAAGTACCAAAGCTGTGGGTATAGTTGCACCTGTATTTCCATTAGTGGGGACCAATGACTAATGGTCCATTAGTCATTGGTCCCCACTGGATGTATATCCGGATAACCTTCAATGGTTATTGGGTTAGCTAGTTCAAATATCATTCCTCTCGGTCGTATGAGGGTGTGAGGGAATTGATGATCATACATTAAGATGATTTAGAACCCAAGTTCTAAAATACACGGTACTGGTTGATTGCAATATATTTCCTTGTCATCCTACGGCAGTGTAGGATTCACAATCGTTTGCAACATTTTTCAATTTTTTAAGGCAAGATTGGGGGATCATTTCACCACCCTCCCTTCAAAGTATCCTCTTCCGGGATCCCGTCTCCGGCTGTCGGATAAAACTGTTGAAGCGAGACGCGTTTTATTATCCGACATCGGTTTCACCAGCATGGTTCCTGAACTGTCAAGGTCTGCCGATCATTTGTTCCCCCCTAATGTGAAACCAGCCGGGACAACACCCGCTTACGGACAGTTTCTCAAAACTACAGACCTCTATTCGCCGGGATATGCGGTGAGTTGTTGAATATATTCGTTTTTAATAATAAATCTACAAAAGTATTCCCAGATGTACCTAACCTGAAGTATAGAGTGAATATTCTTTGTTTTTGAAGAAGGCACATAGGTATTCAAAGAAGGCACATAGGCGAATGTGGATTTGTGCTATACTGCCGTTTCTTCTTTTTTTTGCTGCCGAGATAATTTTGGCGCGCGCGCTTTTATATAAGGCAGCGGGCGGGCCTTGTACTTTCGAGAATGGAGACTAGAAACTTTTCGCTTCGCATTGTAGCTTACCGCCATCTATTGTACAGTTTGACAACTATCGGAAATAGTTATTGTCTAGTCCCCTAGATGGCGTAACACGAGGAAACGCGCGTTAAGCGTAAAGGAGCGGTAAAGTTTGTATTAAAAGCAAAAAACATTTTAAAATTAGCCATCGCCCCCTAAACCGCTTCAACGCCCCCCAATCTTCTCTGTACCCTTTATTGCCCCCATATAGGCCATATAGGCGCCCACTTTGAGAAAGACTAATCTAGATAGACGGATCTCTTGTATCATATCTTTCGAGTATTGCTATCACCACAGCGGTTTCAACACAGAATTCGTTGTTGCCCTAGTCCAGGACAGGTACCGCTGGGACTATTTTGAGAGATTTTTCATACTTCTAATTTTTCCAACCATTTGGCAGTATTAAATTAATTGAAAAATATTTGAATTCAGTCACAAAAATTCACTTGGGCAAATACAGCGTCTACTAGCGAATGCAGTCAACCACACTCTCGATACAGTAGTATGTATCCGTTGTCGCCTCCAGCACCCCCTAGACGTTGCTCTGCTCCAGTGTCTCCGTCGAAGAAAGTTTTTGTGAAACAGCCGCCATCCAGAGTGAGATTCGCCAACGGCTCCCTGCCAGAATTGAGGGGGGACTGGGCGACTGTCGACAGTGGAGACTCAACAGACAGTCTGGTCGAAGAAGCGGAGAACTACCTGAGAAGATCGATCGACTGCATCATGACGGGAAGGGATATAGTTGCATCGAATTACAGGTTTGTTTAAGACAGTGTCAGCCAAACGTTATAAATTTGTTAATGTAACTGAAACAGCATGAGATTCTTAAAAATTTTCCAATTAGTTTTTGAAAAAGTACTAGTTGAAATATATGATAGAATCGTTTGCCTCGACAGTGGCGTGAAAACCAAATCAGGATCAAGGAGGGCTTCAGCACCAGAGCCTGCTCGTGACAACGTTCCTCCAACAGGCTGGCAACCGTTTCTGCCTCGCGTCTCACGCGATTTGAAGTTGGATCATTGGGTCAAAGTCATTACACCGGAAGGCAGGGTCAGAGGCGGGCGGGTCAGGTATATCGGAGCGATGATTTCTCAGGACGAGCAGTTTGTTGGGGTTCAGTTGAGCAATCCGGACGGATATTGCGACGGATCTTACAACAACAGAAGGTATTTTCAGTGGTGAGTTGTATCACGAGTTGAATTTTAGAATCGATTATTTTATACTTGTTTTCTTTTGTAGTGAACCATATCATGGTATATTCGTACCTTTCAAAAAGGTGATTATGGGGTGGAGGCCGTAGTGAACGACAATTATTTACTCTCTACCTTCACAGTCTGTGTGACAATTGCTGAATGTTATATTGTTATATGTGCCATAAAAAGTTACAAAACATGCAAAAAAAAATTGAAAATGTCGAAAATTGATTAATGAAATGGTGATAGAAATATTCTAGTCAATATTACTTACTCTTTATGATTTTATTTATATTATTGCACTGAATACGCATTGATTACTATGCTCTGGTAGATACAGATATTATTCTTTCAGAAACTATCGTTATCTTAGCCCCGTGACAGGGTAGGAAGGCCTAAAAATTGTGTGTTTTGTATCAACCAAACTCTTTCTCATTACTATTTACGATTGTAAAAAATCATTTTTATTCCAAAAACGTTGAGTAATGAAGTAGATGTTACACAAATATCTGTTGTTGTCCTCTCGCAAATCCTGTAAGGGACAAGGTTATATCAGCTGCCTGCATGATGTAAATGCTTGCATGATGTACTTTATAGAATAAATGATCAACCTGAAAACTATTTCTTGAGGATGTTGAATTTCGAAAATGAACAAAAAAATATATAATCTGAATGAAAATTGTTCGATTTTGTTTCATTTTTCTTCCTAGAGAACCTTCGCCCAATCAGGACACAGCAAAAATTGCGTTCGTCGATTTCATTGAATTACGAGCTCACAATTAATCAACTTATGTTGTGTTGGCGAAACTGCACTGGTCCAAATGGCAATTATTTCGATTAAATTGAATAAGTATTCACTGATATTACAGTTGACTCATAAAAACTGTCAACACTTTTGAAACGACCCAATATTTATTCTTCGCGGCAAATTTCATATTGAAGTATGGTTAGATTTTGATTTGAAAAAAATGAGAATAAGTCTTCTTCTTTTTTTACATTTGCTGGCCTCGGCAACCAAGGCGATCGGCCAGTAACAAAGTATATGTAAATACAAGTGTAATCACATTGTGAACCTGCGACAGACTCCTCCACAATTGGGTTCAGAGTAGTATCTGGTAACGTGTAAAACGCTAAAATTAAGTAAATAATCTCATTAATCAAGCGTAAATGCAACATATTTCTGACATGATAATTGAGCTGAATTTTGCAAAAAAAATATTTAGTTCAATGCATGATCTAGTAGCCAAGACACTCAGAAGTCATCTAATCTATTGATTTCAGCTGACTCCTGTGAGGGGTCAGTCTGGCAGATATAATTCAATATCCAGCGTGGTATTAGCCGTGGAAAGTTATTTTTTAACACGAATTTATCAGAACCTACGGTGTAGGTAAGTTGGGAGTGATAAATATTTCGAAATTTTATTTTCTAGAAAATTTAATCCGCTTGAAATTTTATCAATCAAACAGAATCATAGAAAATCATTTATATTTATGAATGAGAAAGTCAAAATCACGCCAGTTTACAACAAAAATATATACAATGCAAGCTCATATCCCTTTAGCGTCAATATGACCTAATGGATAGTTTCGTTGGGTATATATTTATTTTTGTTGTAATATTCAATGTAATAAAAATTAAGTTCTGAAATCACAAAGCAATACCGTTAATAAAAGACAACTAATGTATTCAAAATAATCAAAATTGAATTTAAAACTTGAATAACTTCCGAAATAAATTCATCAAACTAGTTGGTTTCTCTGACGAAACATTTTCTAATCTTTCACTGGCACATTTTGTCCTATTCTTGTGGAATCCAACTCCGTCATCGTTAGGATCTTGCCCGACTGCTTTGCCTTCAAAAATTTCTTTCTGGTCATCTTCTCGCCGTTCCGCCTTTTTACATTCCTCATTTTTATAAAGAAAAGTCCTAGAAGTCTTTTTTGGGCCAGGGCCAGTTTTCGAAGAGCTATTGATAGTTGAACGGATGTCGTTTTGAGACTTCGGATTGTTTTCGTTCTTTGCTTTGGTATTTTGTCCAGATTCAATATTAATTGAAGTGTCTTCACCCGCATTGGCGGATGAATTCAAGTGAAGACACTCGTACCCCTATTCTGAACCCTTCTTAGCCTTGCTGATCTTGCTGGAATGTTCGATTTGTTTCAGTTGCTCCTTTTGCCAAATCTAAAATTGAAATTATACAGTTCAATAAATTATATACTTATAATCATACACTTGAATTAGAAGAAAAAGATACTGAACTCATTTATTATCGACATCCACAAGAACAAAGGTCGTGAAACAAGTTAAGACAATCTCACCTTTAAATATTTTGGCCTTATCAGCTCTTCATGTCCTTCTGCAAACATTTTTTTCTCCCATTCCAATAACTCCTTTTCATAGTTTTCCTGTTCTTTGGAGTACTTTTCTTCGTATTTCTGTTTCTCAGAGTTTGGTAGTTTGTGCCATTCTCCCGACAAATTCGCTATCAATGTTTTTCCTGTCAAGTTCTGTATTTGGCCTCTATCTTTCAAAAATAGTAAGTACGCATTCATCGGTTTTCTCGGTTTGTTGAATTGCTTATTCAGCTACATGAAAAATAGATATTTATATGAGAGAATTATGAAGTAATTATTATTACTTATAAAATCATAAGAACACAGTTTCTTCATGCTTCAAACTTATTTTTCAATAAACGAGTGTGAAGTTCACCAATCTGAGTATCTATAGGTAAGAAATAGATTATTTCCATAGCCTGGTTTGTTCTTGTCCTCATAGAGAATAACAATATCTTTCTGCTCTTAGGATTTCAATTTCCTCTTATAAAACTCACAGACAAAAATAATATTGAAAATTCTATACTAGCTAGCTTTTAGATAGAAAATCGATAATATTCAACAACATTTTAGTAATCTACCAATAGCAACGTGTGGCAACGAGGTTTTTTTCAAAAAAAAACAACACTGTGATCATGCCTCAACCACCGTATTCACCAGATTTTGGCCCTCTGCAATTTTTTTCTGTAAATGTAAATGTTCACTGTTAGGTATGTGTCATTAGAATTTATTATGGTTTAATTTGTATCAATAATCTATTTCAAAGAATGCAAACTTTTACGGCTGTTAAAGCTATTTTCCAAGTATTTTGGCAGTAATCTGCAGATTTTTATGCTTGACTTTACGTCTAGTACCGTGGTAGACATTATCAAAAGCAAAGAATAAATGGTCGAAGTGCTCTAGTCTTTCCAAATGCAGAGCCCATCATGCTGGAAGTTGTCTCCGGTTTTATATTACCATAGATTGGCGTTGTTTCGTTTCTCCTAATAGGATTACCTGACCTTGATTCTGTAGAATTAAGGACAGGTATCCAGAGTTTATTAATGTTCACTGCCTCTTCCTTTTCGACTTTCTACTTCTCCATCTTCATACAAAAAATTTGGTGAACTTTTGAAGTAAGTAAAACAATCAACTTCAAAATAAATTCTCCACAAAGACATGTAGATCATGCATATCTGTTCAGATACAAATTGAAAGAAACATCGCTCTTGAAACAACTACTTTTACATGAGCATTGAATTACAAGAGAAAACCTTTTTCATTTAGTCTGTTCTCCAAACATTCCTTAGGAAATTGAAATAAATCCACAGGAATACTATATGTGATATCTGGAAGTGCACTGAAACGAAATATCACTTACATGAAAATCTAGCATCTCGAAGTTTCGAATTGAAACATACAAATAACATTTTTTTGTAAAACAGAGAAGTAGAAGGCCCAAAAACAATTTTTCAGAAAAAACTATCTTTCCTAAAAAATATCTTCGCTTTCAATTCAGACGCACGTTGTTTTGATCTCATGTAAGGCCATTTTACCTTTCTCACTCTTTTAGATTGTTTTTCCATCATATTTTCTCGATCCATTACTTGAAGTGCTAATAACTGTTCCTGGGTGAGGCTTGCATTGTATCTTAAAATATCATCATTATACGCCTCCGAATCAGATTTGAACTTGTAGATATATTTCTCTTTTTCCAACTCTGAAGAAGCTTTCCATTTTTCTGCACATTTTTTGATAATGTCTTTTGGGCTAGAATCTGGATTTTCTTTGACTACATTGGCTCGAATTTCTCGGATAAATTGTAAATAAGGGCTTAGGGGTTTTTTTGGTTTCTCAGGTATATTCAATTCAGTCAGCTTATTCTGTGTTTCCGAAGTTAGTGTCCTTGTAGGGTTTTGGATATTCCAAAATGTCATTTTTGAATTGCTACAAAAATTATGTTAACTTCTACCTAGATTATCTAATAACGCTTGATATACGAACCATTTATTCAAAAATCTATTATGAAATGAACTGAGAGTTTTCAGTATTCCAGCCATCTCCAAATTTAAAATTAAAAAAATCTCTAAAATTTGTAGATGCCTTTTTATCAAAACCTCATTAAAAATAGCGGAGTGTTTTTCTTCTTCTTTTTCATCTAGTGGTCTGAGCTACTGGGGCTATCCAGCCAAAAGGTTCACTGTTTCACGTATAGTCAGTGGGCATACTTGAAGACTGGCTATAAATCAAATCATCTAAAGGAACAATTCGTTCAGGCCAGTCTCAACACCCTACACAGTAGGTTAATGGACTGACACCTATCAGAAAACAACTACTCCCCTGGCTAATACCACGAAGGGCGTTGGATTATATCCGACAGGTGTCAGTGCAGGATTCTTCACAGAAGTTATTCCTGCATATGCAGGAATAACTTGGATTTGAAAAGGTTCACTGATTGTTCGGGAGTAAAATAAGGTAACAATAAAGCGAATTTGGACAATATTCCATTCGCACTTGGAGAAAAATTGAGAAATTCAGTTTGAAACATAAATTTTGATTTAGGAAACAAGACACTAGTCACTAAATACTCGATTATTCTAATCAGACAACAGAACCAAGTTGAAAAAGAAGTCAAGCAGAATCGAGTAGCAATCCACAATGATACTAGATAAACAAGGGTAATATATTTATAAATAACGTTTTTTTTTCAAGCAGGACATAAGATTATTCCTAGCAAAGTATTGTTTATCCAATTTACAGAAAATATTCATTGTTCAAACAAGAGTTTGAACCCTACTTCAAACTGATCCTATAAAAGTAGTCCGAAACGCCGCAAGAACGCATAAGCGTGCTTCTTTTTGGTGATGCAATGAGATCGTTCATTAATATAATAAGTATACTAATCAAGTGAAAGTTCGTTCCATTAGATCCAACTAGCTACAAAAAAATAGACTTCGTTGTTGAATGGAGTATTCAAAAGGTATTTAAAAATACAGTTTGAAACCTCTCAGACCATAATATGCACTATTTACTGCCCAGTTACTTCTCCTAATACACCCCCATTTCTTTTCTTCATTCTTCATATTTAAAAAAAAGCAAATATAATGCAGAAAACAAAATTTCTTGTATGGATTATTCCCAGGACAACCTTCCACACCTCTTAACAGTGACATTACTTCATACAAAAGTTACTTGTGATGGAATTGTATATGGGGTCTGTTCCAAAAATAAGCAGTTCTGATATGCACCTTTTTAGTATGTCTTTGAGCTCTCTCAGGGGTTCGGTTTTTAATGCAAAACTCTACCCTTCAATCTTGGGAACAGCAAAAAAATCGCAGGGAGCCAAATCTGGTGAATACGGTGGCTGAGGCATGACTACAGTTGTGTTTTTGGCCAAAAATTACGAACAAGCAATGACGAATGAGCAGGTGGATTATTCAAGATGATACTCCTTATTGACTGTACGACCGTGTGGCAAGAACTCCTGATACCCTACGCTACGGTAATTGAAAAAAAAACAGTGAGCAAAACCTTGAGAGTTGATCGAATTTGGCGTTCTTTTTTTGGTCTCGACTTTTCTGGGCGCTTCCATTGGGACTATTGGACTTTGGTTTCGATATAACCATATACCCATGATTCTTCATCAGTTCTCAGAAAAAAACAGTTGTATCAATGGTTTATATGTTTTACTTTCAGGAATAGCAGGTATGGTGTCAAAGACCACAGTGGCTCCTCTGGACAGGGTGAAAATTCTTCTGCAGGCTCACAATCGACATCATGAAACGCACGGGGTGATTTCAGGAATACGTCACATTATGAAGAGCGAAGGGCCATTAGCCCTTTACAAAGGTATATAATATTTGTGTGATTTAACTTTATACTGATATTTCATGATTTAAAAAATGTTTTTTTCTAGTTATGCTTGAATCAAACTATTTTGATTGATTTGTTACTTTGGAAATTACAACTAAGCGTAACAAAAACATGCAAATTTTGTAGGGAGCAAAAAAATTCAGCCTTATTGAATCATTATTTGTTAGTTTTATTCAGATCAATACTAATTGAGGGAGTGGTTGTTTTATTGTATCTGATCTATTTCTGGAATATCAGTATATTTTCATTCATGAAGCTGTTAAATGAGAGCAAAAGAAAATCTACATAATGACTTTCTTCATAGATCATTTTTGAGCAACTGTTACATAAATACTTTCTATTTTTCATTTGATAAGGATTGCCTCAAAATGTGTTGCTCCTAATTTATTTATCATTTTGAAGATGCTTTTTCAAAACTTGAATTCCACTTTTATCTTACTACTATAGATTTCTGCTGAATTTTTCGAAAATTTTTGAAATTATCAGTTATATTTAATTATTCTAATTTTTCCACTACCACCAAAGATTTTTGCCAAATTCTTGCAAAATGTATCAACATGTTCATTGTAAAAGTTTATTTTTGATTTTTGACTACCAATTGGTACAGTGAAAATCATTTATAAAAGAAAAAAAATTATAACAAAGTCATTTAAATTCTGTTAATTTTAGAGTATAATTGGCTACAAATTATTTCAGGTAATGGTGCACAAATGGTTCGTATTTTTCCATATGCAGCTACTCAATTCACTTCTTTCGAAATCTATAAGAAATATTTGGATGGAGTTTTTGGAGAAACGTCACACATCGACAAATTTTTAGCAGGAGCAGGAGCTGGTTTGACTTCTGTGGCATTAACGTATCCGTTGGATACAATAAGAGCCAGGCTGGCTTTCCAGGTTAGATATACTTTCATATAAATATAAATGATGCAAATTATTTTAACAAATGGATTCAGGTTCATCAGATATTTATGCATGCCTTCCTTTTATTGCGAAACAAACAATTCTGACCTTAGTATGTTTTTTTATTTTGGAAACACTGTGTCTTACCCACAAAAAATATAAAAATAAATTTAATACCACCTTAACATATATTAAGTTCCATTTGCTTTAGATTTCATTATGGATTTTCTTGTAGCATCAGCCTTTTCCATCACGTAGATTCTATTTGGGGTGCCCTTCTATTTCTCTACTTTTATTACTATCCTGAATATAAATTTTCCACCTACTGACGAGTAAATTCTGTAAATTTCAGGTGAGTGGTGAGCATATATACACAGGTATAGCCCACGCCGCTACAAGCATATTCAAGGAAGAGGGAGGCATTCTTGCACTATACCGAGGCTTCATTCCCACCCTTATGGGAATGGTTCCTTATGCGGGATTGTCCTTCTTTTGTTTCGAGTACCTCAAGTACGGATGCATGAAGTATCTACCACAGTTCACCTGTAAGCCGTGTGAAAAAAATACCGGCGGTTTAGTACTCGCAATACCTGCTAAACTCATTTGCGGGGGACTGTCGGGGGCAGTAGCGCAGAGCGTCAGTTATCCACTAGACGTGACGAGAAGGTAAATCTCAATTTTTTTTAGGGTAGCGTAATGGCTACCCTGCAATTTTGATCATATTACATTGATTGAAAGTGAGAGGTCAACAAAGAGTAATATTTTGAAGAGAAATGCTTAGAAGTATTGGAGCTGATTGAAATAGGCGAATTAATTAAACTTGAGGTTCACAGGGATATTCAACATACAAAATTTACACTATTGGGCAGTATAAAGCCCGTTATTAGTATTGGTATTGATTTATGGGCATGTATTGGTATTGATTTATGTAACATGTATTGGGCTACCTGGAAGATTAGACGGCCCACTTTATAGCCCCAGACAGCCTTGCTAGAAGAAGTACCTATTAACTTGGTGTGGTTTCAGTCAGATGGCGCCATACCACATTCTTTCCCGCCAAGTAATTGTGCAGTGGAAGTGTACTGGGTCCATAACCTTCAATAAAACTACTACATAGTTTGCACTGTGGCGACAATAGATGGAGCTACATGTCTTATTTTGTTATAATTCGATATTGAATTACAACAGTTACCATTTAAAGCTTTTGGCCACTTCGGTCTTCAGATCTGAACCACTTTGAGGAAAAGAACGCCATGTTGATTTCACGGCCAAAGATAACTGTGTCACACCTTGACCGAGGTCTGCAGCAAAGCAGTGGACGAAGTTGATACTAAGGAATTAGTTTGGATTTGCAAATCCATTCCTTTGTTGGTGGGCTTGGCTTTGTTCCATGTTGTATGAAGTTTTGACCTCCTCCATCGCCTCCTTCAGTTTAGACTCTGACATATCAGATACCTTGTAAGGAAAAATTGGTTGGGTTACTTTTTTACAACTTTTTGAAGCTCGGATATCATAATTAGGGCTCCGAAACAATGAATTTTCTCATTGACATTGATGATGAGGCTTTATAATAACAAAGATGCTTGTATATCTATTTCGTTTTTTATTTAATAGAAAATATGAATATCACATTGAAAAACTTTCTTCTTGGTTAGTTTAGTAGTTCAAATTTTTGTGCATAGTATTTATAATAAGATTCATTGTGTTACATTTCGGATGGAATTATTAAATTACGAAACATGGAGAGGAAATACTAGTTTTTTTCTGTGATATGGTTGATTGTTGATAATACAAATATATAAAAAAGTCTCATGATACGGGCACAAGTTGATTTAATATTACTCATTACTCAACAGGCGCATGCAGCTAGCTATGATGAATCCCGAAACTCACCACTTCGCTAGAGGGATGTTTTCAACATTGGCCCGAATTTACACTGACCATGGAATTGTGAAGGGTTTATATAGAGGAATGTCGATAAACTATATGAGGGCGATTCCTATGGTAGCAGTCTCATTTTCTACTTACGAATTGTGTAAACAATTGTTAGATTTAGATACCGGAATCAAAGTCAAGGTTTAAAAGTGGGAAGTGAAGCTGATCGGTTGATTTGCAAGCAACTGTTTTCTTTAAAAAGAAGCACCAGAAAAGACTCGCAATACTTTATTTTCATGACATTTTCCAAGATGAACATTTTATTTCTCAGCTGTTGAGAATAATTTTAAATAAGATTTTGTAAGCAAATCAAAATTGTTGAATGTTTTAAATTTGTTTTATGCTGTTTTGAATAGGTATTTATTTTTGTTAGGAGTGTACCAACCAAAGAACTACTTATGATTAGCAGAGTTGATTAGTTTTTAATAAATGCATCTTACATACTGTTTGGAAGTGTGAACTTTTCCTAAATAAAATTATTTATTTATTATTATTTAGTACTTAATTGCGTTTTTCTTTTGAGGATTTCGTTAACACCACTATAGCCCAGTTTCAGATTTAACTTGTACATCTTCAGTAGTTTGGAAGTTTTGAATCTCTAGAACAGTTTTCTAGAGTAACTATGCGTTTTTCCCGCTTTGTTTTTATAATTCAATACCAGAACTTTATTACTAGAAACTAACCCTTTTATCTACTGTCTGCACATAACTCTTACGTCCTTGTTATTTCAGTCCTCAATTTCAAGCGCTTATTTTTCGAATATGATTCGTCCTCCAGTGAAATTTTCATTAAATATAGGCCAAACTAGATTGTGGTATATAAAGGTGATGATATTATGAAATACGTTTTTGTATGATTCCTTTTTTTTATTTTGCAATGAAAATATAGAAACTTTCTACAAAAATGGTTTTTCATTAATCCACAAAACTATTGTTCACATATTTTTTATACGAAAATGAATATTTCAAAATATTCATCTCTCCCAACTCACCTTCATATCAGGTTCCCTGGCTAATGCCCCGCTGGACATTGAACTATATTCCACAAACATTCATGCGCCATACCTCACAGAGGTTAGTTCCGCTGATGTAGCTCGTTCATCCAGCAGCAGGATCATGCTGAAGTCGATTGAGTAGATCATCTACAGATCGGTTTCAAAGTATAACTTCTCTGTCAGTGCAAGAAACAACCCATCTTTGTATATATAAAAGATCCCATGTATCAGTTCTCTGACAGAGATCAAAATACGTCTGGAAACTATCTAACTTTCTTTGTAGGTGAGTTGGGTGAGATAAATATTTCTAGATTTCATTTCGAACTATTGAAGTGATAAGTTCTTATGGAGGGGGTGAACCGCTTCGTTACCTAACGCGTTACGTCTCCAGTTTGTCTCTCTCACGCATACGTCAGCGGATGGCGGGCCCCCCCCCTCTCTCGTCGGACAGACGCTTAGTGTTTAGTGTGCGTTAGACGTATACTGTTGACAGAATTATAAAAATCTAACCAGCAAGCTCGTGATATTCTTTTATTATGTGAAACGTGGCTCAAAAATGATGATACTAATTTTGTGTATGTACATTATTAGTATCATTATTTAATCCTACAAAAATAACAATTGGCTTATGGTAGCTATAATATATATGTACATACACAAAATAACCTTTTCTTACATTATCATATTAATATACATAAGAATAATAATAATAATATCAATTTATTTTCATATGATGATTACATAGACAACAAGTCATATAAAATGTGAAATGCAATATACAATACAATAAAAAGTTAATTACACAGTATTAAAAATTTGAAAGTTGAAAATGATGTATGTACATTACATAATAGGAGTATCTATCACTCGTATAGAATATGCTAAAAGCTCCTCAACAGAGTAGGGAGAAATTTGAACATCATTAACCAGGAAGGGTTTTTTTTTCGGCAATCAACTTGTGAAAAAATACAGGAAAACTGTGAAAGATGTCAAAAGGTAATATAACAACACAATTCAATACAGATTGAAAAAATTGTTATAGATATTCACATAAATACACATACATGTTTACATACATAAATACACATTAATTATTAATTCGCATATACACGAAAAGCATATTGCCTGCATATTTCATTTAAAATTCAAGTTTCCTAATTAAAAAATTCTTCTGTGGTGTAGCAGTTTTTGCGGAGTAAGTGTTTTTTCAGGAGATTTTTGGAAATTGTTAGAGACACCCTACGTTTTGTTTTATGAAAGAGGGGACATTAGCAGATCAAGATCTTCACATGATGTAGTGCTGCAGGCTTTTCCGGGTTTTCCTGCCGCTGAAAAAGCAATAATCAAATGTAGCAAATGGGCAAGTGTGTTCCTGATGATGAACTGTTTTACTCGTCAGAAGAATCGATGAATTACGAACTCTGCGACATTGAATGAAGTCGTCATTTAATATATGTTCCAGTTGTTTGAAGAACTCAAAGCGTAACATTGTTAATACAATCATACTAGCTTTTCGGGGATGACATTCGAGTTCATTATTAAGTGTTAGGTACTGAAATTAATTAGAAATATCTTTTATCAAAACATTCATGCATATTCCACAGTTACAAGTCTTAGATTGTGAGCGGTACAAACTTTTTTCAAAATTATCAATGAAGAACCACTCACACTAATGGGCCATTGTTTACTATCAATCAGCTTCTGATTGGTACCCACGCGCCGACCGCTGAATCAACTATTGCACAAAATTTGTTCATACTTCTCCAGACTCTAGGGCGCATTATTGAATGCTTTAGAAGGGGATGGGTCGATGCCATGCTTAGTGAGAAGCTACGTTGACGAGGTCACCTTCAGCGGTCACAACATCCCAAAGCTCCGTACGGTGAACAGTCGCGGCGCGAACTTTTCTCAAATTTCAGTTTGACTATAAAATTTTTGATTTTGTAGCTCGGCGCGACATAAACTGTACGTGACTTGCGGCTTGTGTTAGAGAATTGGCTGGTTGTCTATTTAGGTGAGTGTTTTTTTATGACTCTGAATTTTTGGGGCATATGTATGTTCAAATTCTGTTTTGTTGTATTGGGGTTTTATTTGACGATATTGGGAGGTGTAGCAAACATTTTACGTATCAAATTGGTTATATTATTATTGATATTCTTTTAATATCATTCCCTAAGTCGATCTTATGATAATAATTCTCATAGGTGAAAAATAGTTATTTGAACAAACTTATGAGAATTATCAAAGAATCATGACCAATATTTTCATTTCCCCGTTATTTTTGCTGAAAACATTGGCACATATGCAAATTTTGATATGCCATAAAATAATATACCAGGTGTCCCAACAGTAATATTTGCTTTGTATATCGATGATGTTGATATGTATGAAAACCGTCTCATACAAAAGATATTCCACCAGGTAGGCCGTGTTTTGAAGATAGTTAAAGTTGCATAGGAATTAGTATTTTTCCATAACAACAAAAAGTGTTTTTTTTTTAATTTCATTTTTAACGTCTTCAAATAAAACTGTGTGAAATTTTCACACAATAGTTTACAAAATCATAACAAATGTTTCACGTAACGCGGTTTTTTAAACTGTTGAGTGAAAATCTCAACAATAAAGTGCTGTATAGCTAGCACAATATAGCAGTGAATTTGTTGGACTGTTTTTCGAAAATCTTTCGATTGGAAACTCGCAAGCAAATGTAACATTACTCTAAGTCCTGATACTATAAATGACTTTTACTGCTCTATTGCAGATAATATGAGTAAAAATATTACTAGCCCTTATATGATCCATTAGTACATCTAGAAAATTTGGGCGTGGATGAGAACCTATCTCTGTATAACACCAACACTAATGAATTAATTGAAATCATGATGGATATTAAAAACAAAAATACTGTAGGCTACGATAGCTTTTAACTGACTTATGCATATTTTTTATCCTTACTTATTAAGGAGGAGAAAGTTGTTACTTTTTATATGACTATTGTTTTATAAACTTGACTTTTACTCTTTCATATATACATATCTTTTATATCCTCCATTTTAACATAGTTTGGTACCCATGCACTATTTATATTTTTATTTTAATTTCAGTTGGTATGAATTGCATTTTTTTAAGTATGTACTACACAAGCTTTGTCTACAAGATTATGTCTTATGATAGTAAAGCATATTATTATTATTAAGGCTTCATGATTTATCGATGTAAGTATTCTTAGTAAAAATGCCAAAAAAAGTTTGGGAGGAAAACCGTAAAAATTGCTGACCCGTCAAAATTTCGATATTTTCTTTATCTTCATTGTGGGGGCCCCGAGGTGGTAGCCCCACCTGCCCTTCCCTAAATCCGGTCCTGATCGAAGTTATTATATAAATTGAATCAACTTGTGAGCACAAGATTCACTTTCTGAATGTTTTAAAAAGTTGATAAATCACCTGAACTTTAGGTATCCTGAAGTATTTTATTGCAGGAAAGGTGAGAATCACACGTGTCTGTCAGTCTTAAGTCAACATAGGCCAGACGATTACGATTCGGAAGAGAGTACGTGCTGTTTTGTACGTTCGAACGAATCCAAGAATTTACTACATGTGAGGCGAAGCGTAAGGTTGTGCAACACCTTTGAGTTCATTGATATGTGAAAATATATAGGTGCGGAAGAAAGCATGAATTAAATTGAGATGGGAATATTTTTAGAGGATATTAATTTTTGGGAAAGACAGGTTTTGGCTTTCTACGTCTCCATGACAAACAGGAAATTATTTTTTCTCGTTCAGTTTTTACTACGAACATTCTTTATGGAATTAATTCATATATATGAAATATATGAAACTTTCATGCATGGAGATGAAAATATTATGATTCTAATGATTTAGTTAATACAGTCAAGTGAAAGTGTAACTATATAATAATAATAATATCGCCTTCATTATCTTTAAATACATTTAAAGCAAGTAATCAGATACAATTTAATTGTTGTATCAAGATAAAAGGCGAAGTTCAATTTGCACGATGACAAGTCATCATTCAATATTGTACAAATTATTACTGTAAATTCTGGACTGTGGTGTAAGAATGTTTAAATTAGTTTAAGAGAACCTCTATTGAATTGAGCTTAACGTGACCATTAAAAATAAGGGTGTTCCGCCCGATAATTAGCTTGTAATCATCAATGATGCCAATAGCCGGTCTACTTCATTAACACATACTCAACTAATGCAAAACTTTAGGTTAATTTCGCTTTCTGTAGTTTCTCTTATCGGTACGGTGCCAACAAATAAATTAGTCGCCTATTTCAAAATGATTTGTAACTTGATGGAAGAAGAGAGAGCTTTCTTGATATGCATTTAGTATTTCCTCTGGAATAATTTGACGACTTTCAATATATTCCGCACTAGATCTTTTCCCAACGATATACACTTAGGAAAAGAAAAACGAATCTGCGGTTTGATACTGTAACGATTCTGAAGCCGCTCG